TGTCATACTCTAAACAAAAGGGAAAAATGGAAGAAAACAATTGTCCTTGGTTTGTGGAGGGAGTTAACCCACACAGCAAACAAGAAATGACCTTGAATAGCATGCTTCTTCATGTGACTGAACTTTAAAACAATAGTCAAGCAATGCACATGCATCTGAACAAGTTAAATATTATAGGAAGTATTCCTACTTGTTTTATTCTACCTGAGATGGCAAAGGTTTTCCTTCCCTTGGGTGTTCATTCACCCAAAACCCTATTCATATCACATACAATTAAGGAACACATATATATTGAGATAATTCATATTCTGAAGTGTTAATGTACCAGTTTTAAACAACGACCCTCATTTTGAGAGAATAATTAGTCTCCTACTGATATAAATACGAAGTATTGATTTCTTGTTAATGGACTCTATTTTAGAGATCAATCCCCATTAATTCTACCTTTAAAACATATACTAGCCAAGTGCTGGAGGCTCACACCTGTAATTCTAGATACTCAGGAGGCTGAGATCTGAGGATATCAATGTTTGAATTCAGCCCAGGAAAGAAAGTCTAGGAAATGCTTATTTCCAATTAACCCCCAAAAGCAAAAAAAAGTGGAGCTATGGCTCAAGTAGCAGAGAGCTAGCCTTGAGCAAAAAAAACCTCAGGGACAATGCCCAAATACAGTACCCAAGAACCAGCATAAACACACACACACACACACACACACACACACACACACACACACACACACACACACACACTCCCCAACTCATCAGATTTACTTTCTTCTCCACCCTTTCCATACTCCTCACTCAGCAAGTCTCAGTTGGTCTCAGGAAATCACTTCTAACTGGCTTCTGTTTCGCTACTCTCATCCTCTGCAATCCAGTCCTACAAAAGCATCATTTCTCCAAACCTTTAATCAATGACGTCATCTCCCTGCTTAAAACCTCACCGTTGGTTTTCACTGAAGTAAAAACTTCCGACGTCTCCAAACGTACAGTGCTTCATAACTCTTTGGCGCTGTTTCCTGCAGAAGGTTCTGTCTGACCTTATGACTGTCTATTCTCCCTGGCCACCTCTCTACTTTGGGATCTCTGTACCTCTGGACCATCTGTTTTCCAAATGGATGCTTCTCCCTTTAATGACATGGCAAGTTCTACTCATCATCGAGTACAAGCTTTCCTAAAAGGTGGGGCACCACTGCCAGCAACACCTCCCTATTTTCAATTCCTCATAACTTTTTAATGCATGAGTTCTCTTCCTTCACAGAAATATATTATCTTTTTCTTGGCCACCTCCCCTACTTGATTGTTGACATCCTGAGAAAAGATCTTGTCTGTTTTATTGACTACTCCATCCCTGGTACCCACACCAGTGTTTGGTAAATAGGAACTATCCAACAAAGTCATGGCAAATGAGTAAACCAATGAATCATTTCAAACAATCAGTGCTCCGTGTACTTTCTGATGAAGGCTTCTGTGCTCTTTGTTGAAAGAGAAAGGAAAGATTGGCTATAAGGTAAACTAAAAAGATGACTAAATTGCTCTAACTTAAAATCAAGCTCTATCGTTTACTAGCAAAAACCATTTGCTTCTTTGGGGCTTTGTTCCCATGTTTTGAGAATGTGGGATAATAACATGGCTTATAGGCTCACCAAGATCAAACTAGGTAATAGATAAAGACAAAGCAAACAAAAAACATTTGAGCAAAGCAACCTTGGGTCACCCTTAGCTACTCAAGATCTGATGATTACAACTCAAAGCCAGCCTGTACAGGAAAGTCTTTGAGATGCTGATCCCTAATTAGCAAGTAGAAAACTGGAAGTGAAGCTGTAGCTCAAGTTATAGAGAGCTAGTCTTTTTTCCTCTGCTTTATTTTTTCTAATAATTAAGTTGCCTTATTGTTATTATAGAGGTGATGTACAAAGGAATCACAATTGCATAAGTCAGGTTATGAGTACATTTTCTTTTATACAGTGTCTTCTTCCTCACTCTCTCCCAGTTCCTCCCTCTCATCTCTACCCACGAGTTGTATAGTTCATTTTTATCAGTGTTCAGTGAGCTACACTGCTGCACTTTTTCACCCTTTTTCCCTTGAGTTATGTATCCTCCTCCCCGCTATGTTCCCAAAGATACAAAGATATAGTCTTGAAAGAAAGAAGAAAGGAAGGAAGGAAGGAAAGAAAGAAGGAAGGAAGAGAGGGAGAAAGGGAGGGAAGGAAGCTTCTAAAATATGGTCATGGTTCTCATCTATCCCTTCAAAATTTCTGTATGAAAAACTTAGTACCCCAACTTATATGGAATTACTATTGGGAGGCTGGGCTTTGGGAAGAACAAATAGAACTGGATTATATCATTAGGCAGACCCCAGTGATGCACTAACCCGTATCTTAAGAAGAGTAAGAGAGCCCTGTGAAAGCTGGCATTCTCTTATTCAGCATGTGCTACTGGATACCTCTACCATGTCACAGTGCAGTAAGAATACTCCACCAGACCTAGAACTTTGATATTGTACTTTTCAGCCTTCAGATTCACAAGAGAAAAATCTTCTGTTCTCTATAAAATACCAGGTCATTTCTATTTGTATTTCCTTTATGGCCAGAGATGTTGATCATATCTTCATGTATTTATCAGCCATTTGTTCTTCTTTTGAGTATCATGCCTTCGCGTATTTATTAGCCATTTGTTATTTCTTTGGAGAATTTTCTTTTCACTTCATTTGCCCATATGTTAATTACACTGTTGAGCCTTTGGAGTTTAGTTTTGTGACCTACCTGTATATTCTGATTATTAATCCCTCCCTTGTCAGGTGTATAGCTGGCAAAAGTTTTCTTCTATTCTGTAGGCTGTCTTTTCAACTTACTGACTATTTCTTTTGCTATGCAGAGATATTAAGTTTGATGCAATCCCATTTGTCAAGCTGTGCTCTTGCTGAACTACTGGAGTTCTTTTCAGGAAGTCACTGCCTATGCCAAATGTTCTAGTATTTTTCCTATTCTTTCCCATAGTCATTTCAAAGTTTCAGTTCTTACATTTAGATCCCTGATTCACTATGAACAGATATTAGTACAGGTGAGTGATTGGAAACTTGTTTCAGTTTTCTGCGTTTGGATAGACAGTTTTCCCAGCACCACTTATGAGATTATCTTTTCTCCAATGTACACTTTGTTTTTTGTTTTTGTCAGAAATCAGGTGATGGTAGCTGCATGGATTTATGTATTCTACTCTATTCCATTGGTCTTTGGGTCTGATTTTGTGCCAGTATCATATACCTTTTGTTACCATGACCCTGTGGTATTATTTGAAGTCCATATTTTAACTCATGGTAGGCCTTTTACCATTTAAGCTATGCCCTTATTCATTGAAAAAGCTGAGTTGGAGATAAAAGTCTCTTAGATATTTCTGTCCTGGCTGACTTTGAACATCGACCCTCAGATTGCAGCCTTCTATATAGGTAAGCCCCAGTATTTCTTATTTTGTTCAAGATTGCTTTGGCTATGGGATCTTTTGTGCTGACACATGAATTTTTAAGAGCTGGGTTTTGTTTTTTCAATTTGAGAAGATAATATTGATATTGTTTTTTCCGGTCCTGGGGCCTGAACTCTGGGCCTGGGCACTATCTCTCAGCGTTTTAGCTCAAGGCTAGTGCTCTACCACTTGAACCACAGTGCTACTTCGGCTCTTTCTGCTTATGTGGTGCTGAGGAATCGAACCAAGAGCCTCATGCATGCAAAGCACACATTCTACCACTGAGCCACCTTCCCAGCCCAACACTGAGATTTTTATGAGAATTTTACTGAATCTGTAGATCACTTTCATTAGTTTATCCATTTTCAAAATATTGGTTCTGACAATCCATGAGCCTGGGGAGCATCTTGGTCTTCTGGTGTACTTTTCAATTTATTTTTTCAAGGTTTTATGGTTTTCATTATAGAGGCCTTTCATTTCCTTGGATAAATTTACTCCTGAGTATTTTTAGGCTATTATGAATGGAATTGTTCGGCTAGTTTTCCTTCTCAGCCTGTTCAATGTTGTTATATAGAAAAGCTACAACATTTTATATCTTGATTTTATATCTTTCTATGCTGCTTGAGATGTTAACCAGACCTACAAGTTTTGAAGTGAAATCTTTATGGTCCTTCAAGTGTAATATCATATTATTTGTAAACAGGGATAACTTGACTTCTTCCTTTCCTATTTGGATCCCATTGATTTCCTTTTCTTCCGTCATTATGTTGAATGGCAGTGGAGAGACTAAACACCATTGTATTGTTTCTGAGGAAAGTATTTCAGTTATTTCTCATTTAGTAGGATGGTAATTATAAGTTTGCCATGCAGAATCTTTATTTTGTTGAGTTATATTCCTGTTCTAGGCTTTTATATTCTGTTCCTAGGTTTTTTAGAGATTTTTAGCATAAAAGGATGTTGATATTGTTAAAAGCCTTTTCTACATCAAATGAGATGATACTATGTTCCTTGTCTTTGTATGGTTAAAAATAAGGTATATGTATACATTTGTGAAATATGGTAATATCTTTTTGAACTATTAGAAAATACTTAAGAAAAAAATGTAAAACATGTCGTGTCTTGGGTGTGGTTACTAGTGGGAGAGAAAAAGAAGGTGAATGTGGTCAAAATGTTTTGTGGACATGAATGAAATGAAACATTTAAGTTTATTAGAATTGGTTTGGAAAGAATCAGGGGGTAAGAGGAAGAATGATGGAGAAAGTAAGATTGATCAAGATACATTATATGTATATATTGACAAGTCAGAATGAAACCCACTTACAACTAACTATACAAACAAACAATATAGAATTTAAAAAAGTTCCAGATCTCAAGTATTTGATTACAGCAACAGAAAACTCACTACAAGAATTATATAAATTTTATAATTATTTCAACAAGTTGGTAAATGGCAAATATATGAAAAATATCAGTATTCATTTCTAAATTGGGGTACCTAATAATTTCAGTAATAATTGTATATAAAATTTATGGAATTTTTACCTTTTTATAACTGGATATTCTCTGGCATATGTGTTCAATTCTTCCACTACACACAGCACTGAATTTACTCTGTAGGTCAGCTGGAATCACTTCATTGAGAGAATTAAGGCTGGTACAGTTTTGTACAAAATGATCATCACTTTTAGCAAGGGCCTCAAGAATCTACACAAACAAGACAATAAGAGAAAAAAACTTCAAAAGCAGCCACTATAGGGTTACCATAGGGTAATTTTCTAGTATTTCTAGTCTCTTAGCAGTTCTCAGGACTGCCCTGTATTGTGAGACACTGATATAAGGTTTTCTGTTTGGAATCCCAGGCTTCACCTTTTGCTGACCAGAAAAGCCTGCTTGGGAGGCCAGCCTGACGTGAGAACACATTTCCTATGTTTTAGTCAGTTGCTCAGAATGTTTTCCTCCCATCAGTTAGTGGTAGAATGAAAACCTCAGGAAAAGCAATTGGATCCTCATTGGCCACCAAGCAGTTAGCATGGACAGTAGAATTAACAATTGGCTTGATGAAGGAATGATTAAATGAAAAAGTTATCTTAGTAAAGTATAACTTAATATTTGTGCCATATCTGAAAGATGATAAACCTTCGTGTGGCTGGGCATGGTGGCAGAAGCCTATCAGCAAAGCACTTAGGAGATATAGGCAGGATGAACAATATGTTAGGGCCGGTCTGGGCTACAAAGGGCATTCAAGGCCAGCATGGGCTATCAGATGAGACCCTGTTTCAAAAATAAAATCATAAAGTGGCTGGGAATTTGGCTTAGTGATAGAGTGTTTGCCTGGCATGCATGAAGCCCTGTGTTTGATTCCTCAGTACTACATAAATAGAAAAAGCTGGAAGTGGTACTCTGGCTCAAGTGGTAAAGCACTCTCCTTGAGCACAGAGAGGCTCAGGAGCAGAGCCCAGGCCCTTAGTTCAAGCCCCAGGACAGGCAAAAACGTCATACACACAATGTTTTCAATTAGCAGATCTTTGAATATACTTGATCAATTGTAAGGTGGGGTTGGGGGGTAATTTCAAATGAATTGAGAATTATGTGATATACTTATAGTTAACATTTATGATGGTTCAGAAAACATCAGATCAATTATACCCTTAACTAATATGTTTATCATACTCTGTAAGGCATATAATGTACCAATGATATATTTATTTCATTTTAACTTCACTCTTCCTGTGTAAAGTTGTATAAACATAATATATAAAATAGCTACAGCTATACATAAAATGAGATATAGTATTTTGCAAATTTGAAATTGCAGAAAATAATTATAATAATGTGGTTCCAGACTCTTATAAGGATCTTATTAGTTGTTTAACATAGCTGAGGAGGGATTGCAGTTGGAAAACAAATCATATCTGCATCTGTATCTATTTATCTACCTATTTGATTAGAAATTCATCAAAATAATGAAGTTTTTAACTGACTTTCAAAATATAAAACAAAAATAAAATAATTAATTGAAAATAGCTCACTCACACCCATAGGATTGTACTTATAACCTGAATTATGGAATTGTAACCTCTACAACTACTCAATAATCAATGACAAACCTTCAGGAAGAAAATGTAATTTTAAAATTGCTCATCAAAATGCTATATTACTTTCTTCTACTTATTTTTTAATCCATATTCTAAGTGGCAACTAAAGATATTTGAAACAAAAGTTAAAATGAGCAAGGAAAAAGCAAAGAAGTTTCATCTCATTTTTCTCACTTGTGATGTCTGAATTCTCACAGAATGACATAAAAAGCAACAAGAAACAATAGAGCCCAGACATCTAACAGACACAGTGAAAGTCTAACTGACTTATCTCTTAGAGGGATATGAAAAGGAAGCAAAGGCCCCCTTCCTTTCCAACCACATGATTTTTTCCCTTGTGATGTGAACTCCCCAAATATGTTGGTCTCCCATAAAGACTGTAGGATGACTTCATTCCTAAACAAGAACCATTCAAATGCCTGTGCATGCATTAATTAACAAAGCTCTAAGTTTCTTGAACTTGTTGACACTACTAAAATTAGACATTTCCTATAGTGTATTTCATGACTTCAAATATTGGTCAGAGGATATTGTACATTTGAGTACAAATATTTAAAAACAAAATAAATATTTTAAAATAATAAGTATTAAAACAAAACATGCAGTAAGGCTGAAAACCATTTATGATCCTGAGTTAAAAGATACAAACTTAATAGATCCTGTAAAACAGAATTCTAGATACCCAGAGTGAGACCAAAAGAGGATAGTCTTAGGAGAGAATCACAAAGGTGCAATACCCAAGCCTCTTCATATGTACACAAAATAAGATACATTCTGAAATGAACTCCAAAGACATGGAAACAAAGGACTTTTGTTTTAATTTGTTTTTTTCTTTTTTGATGACTCTGCATCCTTTACCTTAAATACAGTATATTCATGTGAACATCTGTGGGAGGGTAGAGGGAAGGCACAGAATCAGAGGAAAATGGAGAAAAAGTGCAGGAGTGGAGCACACTGGCTGCACTGGCATTGATGAAAGTGAGCTATGCAACTCCTGGGTAGAGAAGGGAGGGAGGGAATGGCAGAGAATGAGGGAAGAGATAACACTACCCAAAAGGAAAGGTACTTAATGACTGTTGTATTTAAAGCTAACCCCGCTGTGTATCACCTCTAATACAATAAAATACATTTTAAAAATTAGATCCTGTAAAATCTTTGTCATATCAAAAACCTTTGCCCTGGCAAGAGTCCCATCTCCATCTCATATAATTAACATGGTGTGCCAAACAGTAATAAAAGGAAGACTGCACACATATAATGGGAAGAAGAGACACATACACACACACACACATACACACACCCCAAGTTAAGTGGGAGACGGAGATCATTTGCTCTATTTTAGGAGCCTAAGTGTCACAGGCTGTTGTCACAGGCCGAAGCATACCTTGGCAGTTAAGCTGAAGAAACCTTTAGGTTCGATCATCTTCTCCACCACATTGCACTTTATCCCAGCAGTGCTGTCATACTCATACACAACCCCATACTCCAGGTGGACATTGTCCACTGTCAGGCTCACGTGCTCTTTCTTCCCATCAATGATGGCCATGGTATTGAACTTGTCGATTACCTCTGAAACCAGATCATCATTCAGCAAGCTCATGAAGCGTTTAAACATCTCATCAAAAATTGTTTTGTCCCAGCATTATTTATAGAGCTCCTTAAAGGATAGCTAAACCAGATGTACTAAATGATGTAACTAGTCGGTTATCACTTTGAAACATATAAACATTTTTTGAATAGCAAATGCTGTCATGATAAGAATATGAGATCCAAAGCTTGTATTTTAGTATAATTAGTCTTACCTGTATATCTACTTTGGCTTGTGATCCACAAGTCTAAATATCTATAACAATGTAAACGCTATAATAGGATTCTTTTTTCTTTTCTTTTTTTTTCATTAAAAAAAAGACACTGGAACCTGTGTCTCCTGCTATTAATCCTAGCTACTTGGGAGATTGAGAATATAAGAGAATGTGAGGATCAAAGTTGGAGGCTAGCTGGGCACCTGTGGTTTACACCTGTAATACTAGCTACTAAGGAGGCTGATATCTGAGGATTGTGGTTCAAAGTCAGCCTGGGTAGGAAAGTACATGAGGCCTTATCTCCAATAAATCACTGAAAAACCAGAAGTGGTACTGTGGCTCAAGTGGTAGAGCGCTCGCCTTGAGCTGAATTGCTGAGGGACAGCACACAGGCCCAGAGTTCAAGTCCCTTGAACAAAAGAAAAAATAAGTTGGAGCCGGGCGCCGGTGGCTCGCCGCTGTAATCCTAGCTACTCAGGAGGCTGAGATCTGGGGACTGCGGTTCAAAGCCAGCCTGGGCAGAAAAGATTGTGAGACTCCTATCTCCAATAAACCACTAGAAAACCGGAAGTGGCCCTGTAGGTCAAGTGGTAGAGCACTAGCCTTGAGCTAAAGAGCTCAGGGACAGCGCCCAGGCCCAGAGTTCAAGCCCCACAACAGACAAAAAAAGAAAAGAAAAGAAAAGAAAAATAAGTTGGAGGCCAGCACAGGCAGGAAAGTTAAAGAGACATTTCTCAGCAAATAGCTGGTGCCACAATTACAAACATATTATATGTGGGTGTGGGTATATATGCCTCTGTGTGTGTGTGTGTGTGTGTGTGTGTGTGTGTATAGTATTAGTATTTAATCCTGTGTGTTTACATATAAAGTTATCTTTCAGGAATTACACACCCTCAAGACCAAGGCTTTTCTTCGTTTAATGAGCAAACAAAGCAAATTTTGTTAAAATGGGGATTGTAATCTGGCAGATTTAGGGTGAAAAGGAGGATTTGACTTTAATGATGCTAATTCTGCTGGTTTCTGAGCTATATGAAAACAGCAGTATTTAACTCCAAAACAAAGCCCATTTAACTCCAAACAAGAAAATACAACACAACCCAGATTCAAATGCTTATTCTTTAATCTTTTGACTAACTTGAGCAAGGCCCTTAACTTACCTAGGCCTCAATTTCTTCTCCTTCCCAAAAGGATGGTGATCATCACAATTGCTTGATGACATTTCCTACTTTGAAAACTAAATGAAATAATTCCATGTAAAAAAAAAAAACTATCTTAAAAATACCTACTAATCGGATACAGCTTGCATGTTCACTACTAGTTCTTATTACTTATGCATTTGAAATGACATCTATTTGGAAACAATGACTTTAAAACATCATGGCCTGCAAATCTATGCATGATCTTCAATATCTGGAAGTTGCCTACAGTGTATTATAAACAAAGGAGAAGAGAAACCTACCTTCTACCTTGTAGTCAAAAGCATCCCCTGCTTCATCCCCTGGGGTCCTGGCACTGGACTTCTGGAGGTCCTCTTGAGCACTCTCAATGCTGTTATAAACCCACTGTATGGAGTCTTGCTGGAAAAGAGGGGAAAAGAAAACCTCTGAGTCATCACTGTCCCCTGCAGTATGCATTCACTTCACAAACCTGCTTTAGAAGAAGAATGGGCCACTGTATTTATTCCTCCAGTTTGTTTTAAAATAGTAAAGTAAAAACAGAAAGAAAATTAACAAAAGACTATAAAGTCAGTGACAATCCACCAAACTTTGTTTTTACATTTTGGCTTATTTTCCAAAGGTAAGTTTTGTGTAAATTTACCTTCCAATGATCCATGACTTAATAGGATATATTTCTCAAATGTTTTATTTAAATGCCACAAATACATTTCCTAACAAATGGGGCAATGTCATTCTTTCTGATGGAGGCATAGAATTCCATGGTGTATATAGACCACATTTTCTTGATCCATTCATCTACTGAGGGGCATCTGGGTTATTTCCATATCTTAGCTATGGTAAATAATGCTGCAATAAACATAGTAGTGTTGGTTGCTTTAGTGTGGTCTTGTTTGTGATCATTTGGGTAAATGCCCAAAAATGGGATTGCTGGGTCAAGTTTACATTCCCACCAACAATTCAGTAAGGTTCCCTTCTGTCTACATCCCCTCCAGCATCTGTTATTAGAGTTCTTGATTATAGCCATTCTAACTGGGGTGAGGTGGTATCTCAATGTTGTTTTGATTTGCATTTCTTTTATGGCTAGAGAGGTTGAGCATTTCTTCATGTGTCTATTGGTCATCCTTCTTTCCTCTTCAGAAAAGTTTCTCTGTAAGTCTTTAGCCCACTTATTTATTGGGCAGTGTTTCTTTGAGGATTTGTTGTTGGGGGATTTAATTTTTTGAGTTCTAGGTGCATTTTAGATATGAGACCTTTGTCCATTGTATGGCTAGTGAAGATCTTCTCCCATTCTGTGGGCTTTCTATTGATCTTGCTAGCTATGTCCTTTGCCCTGCAGAAGCAATGCAGCTTCATGCAATCCCATTTGTCCAAAATTTCTTTGATTTGTTGTGTTTCTGGGTCTCTATTAAGAAAATTTCGGTGTGCCAAGGAGAAAAAATATGGAATGCTTCACGAATTTGCATGTCATCCTTGCTCAGGGGCCATGCTAATCTTTTCTGTATCGTTCCAATTTTAGTATATGTGCTGCCGAAGCAAACACGTTAATAGCTTTTTTAGTGAGCACATGATCTACAATTGTACAAACTTTTTTTAAGTGCTCTGTTAACACTAACATATATTTTACTACATTTACTGATGCTTTGAACTGCACTAATAAGCAAATTAGAAGAACATCTTACATCTTACTAAGGATCCAAGTCATGTAACTATCTTTGAATCCTCGGTGTCATAAATCATCCTAGATTTTAATTAAATGAGCAGTTTTGATTTTATTGGGAGAATCAAGGGAGATAAAATGACTACCAAATAAGTGTTACAACTTCTTCATTACTTTAAGGCTCATACTTTTTCTTAATAAGATGATAAATCAAATCGAACTTCATTGCTGAAGTATGATACAATACATAGTATTCATCTTTCTGTTGTATCAGCTTCACAATTGCATTTAATAATTATACTGTTATATATCACTAACATGTCCATTTAGGATCTCAGGATGTAGTGAAACCCAAAATCTAGAATGTTTAGGGACCATTTTTATCAAGTTATCTGGGTTTAATCCCCAGAAACACAAACACACAATGTTGGTTATTTGTCACCTGTAATAGCTGCCAACATACCTCACCCCCAGAAATCACCCCTTGTATAGCTGTGCCTTCTTACAGTGACTCTGGACTTGGACCTGTGACTTGGTTTGTCCAAAGGGATACTACAAGTATCTAAGAGCCAAGTAGAAACCTTATTTCTGGTATCATCTTCTCCTGAAATCCAAATATCATTACAGAAAATAAAATCCTGAGCTGGCACTGGTGGCTCACGCCTGTAATCCTAGCTACTCAGGAGGCTGAGATCTGAGGATGGTGGTTCAAAGCCAGCCAAGGCAGGAAAGTTAATTTGAGTCTTATCTCCAATAAAGCATCAGAAAACTGGAAGTGGCACTGTATCTCAAGTGGTAGAGTGCTCGCCTTGAGCTGAAGAGCTGAGGGACAGCACCCAGGCCTAGAGTTCAAGGCCAGAAACCAACCAAAAAAAAAAAAAAAAAAAGAAAGAAAGAAAGAAAAAAAAAGACAGTAAAATCCTGCTACAGACTGCAAAAAGAAGCCATAGCAACTCTGAAGGACAGCCTGCCACAGGGAGTGGGAGACCATGAAGAAGGATCCCAGCTACCAGGTCAAGTCCTAGGAAGGAAGCCACAGTAACAGCCTCACAAATGTAACCACCCAGTCAAATTCAGAGATTGAAGCCAACAATAGTGTCTTAAGCTACTTAATTTTGGGGAGGTCCATTCGGTGAGGACAGATACCTACGCAAGCATTTTACTTAGGGAATTTTTTTAATTGACTTAGGGAATTTTTCTACCCATTTTTTAGTCATTTCTCTGATCAACACTCCAAAAAATGCAGGCACAGAAAGTGAAAAGGAATAAGACTCAAATCAATTTACATAGTTATTAAAATTCTGTCAGAAGTGGCAAGGTTTAGATAAACTCAGAAAACTTGCAAAATGCGCCAGGAGTTGGTGTCTCATGCCTGTAATCCTAGCTACTCAAGAGGCTGAGATCTGAGGATTATGGTTCAAAGCCAGCCTGGGCAGGAAAGACCCCGAGACTCATCTCTAATGAACAACTAGAAAACCGAAAATGGTGCTGTGGCTCAAGTGGTAGAGTGCTCGCCTTGAGCTGAAGAGCTGAGGAAGAGTGCTCAGATCCAGAGTTCAAGCCCCATGACCAACACTCCCCCCCCCAAAACAAAACAAAACAAAACAAAAAAAAAAAACCTTGCAAAATGCATTTAGTCTTATAGATGAACAAATATTTATGGAGCTACGACCAACCAGGGTAAGCTACAGGTCCTGTATAGATTCCAGTTTTTTGTGCTTGTTTTAACAGCTAACAAAATTCATCGGCTTTTTTCATGTAGGGCCAGTATTTTTGAAGGACATCAGCCCTGGCTGGTGAGCAGGCAGCCACTCCTCTGCCCAATTTGAACAGAAGGTAATCCTCTCAAATTCAGAAAGGAATACTTCACCAAATCTAACAGGAAAAATACAAATCTCTCTTAAAGTCTTTCTATTTCTAGCTGGTATCACTGATAAAATTTTCTCCTATAGGCCAATATTCACTTTCTCTTCATGAGATTAAAAAAAAAAACTTTGCTCATAAAGTTACTATTTTATTTTTCTGAAGCACATATGGATCCAAGGACAGTGGTGAAAAATTTAACTTAAATAACATTAAGAACATACTGTATTTTTTTAAAGCTAAATCCAGTTACCTCAATAAATGTATCCAAAAATTAACCTCAGACTCTATAAACCCCCACAAGTGTTACATTTTCAGAATAGATGAGTAATGAACAGTGCATTTATACTTCATGCATCTGGACAGACATAGAATGGTCACTGCATCACAAAGCAATTGCAAGTAAACAGCCCAAACCTCTGATTAATTTGTTGAAAGTAAAGTCCCAGGCTGCCAATGTAGCTTAAAGAGAAGGCATTTGCCTAGCATGTACGAGGTGTGGGTTCAATCCCATAGTGATAGAAAGAAAACACTTTTTTTTGTCGGTTGTGGGGCTTGAACTCTGGGCCTGGGTGATGTCCCTCAGTACCCACTTTTGGCTTTTTCTGTTTATGTGGTGCTGAGGAATCAACCCCAGGGCCTCATGCATGCAAGACAAGCACTCTACCACTGAGCCACCTTCCCAGCCCTCCAGTGTACTTTTTAATATTATAATAATAAGGTGTAGTCATTTAAATAGTTTATTAATTCTAATTAATTTTGCAGATAAAAGTCATTGTGAGTCATGTACATGGTTTAAAGGGGTTTAAAATTTAATTTAGATCTGTAAACTGCAGACTCTCCAACATTAAACTACACTTTGCCCTGGGTCCTCTATGCAAGTTTTCAATCAGATCCAGATAAACTGAGTTTACCTTCATTGGTCGCCTGTATTTCCGGCAGGCTGTCACGTGGGCAATGACACTAGCATGTGTCTCTTTGCTGACATTGATCCCATTTACTTTGATAATACACTGTCCAGGGTGAAGGCCAGCTGCTGCAGCCACAGTTCCTTTAAGGCAAGGGAAAATTGGGACAAAAATGAAAACAACAAGATTCAACTCTGTCATACAATGGAAGCAATTTTAACATATAAAATCGTTCTAGCTCCTATGGTCTTGATAAATTTGCTTCTGATGGTATTACCTCCTAATAGTTTCTGATTTTTAATTCACATTCAAACTATGATTAACAGAATATTGTTTGCCACTTTGGAAGGAATTAATTTAAGGAAGAATCACAGTAACCTTTATAATGCTAATCAACCTTTTTTCCTTTCAAATGTCTGGTGAAGTAAGTTTCTAAATATTTTTATATAGTAGAAAGCATATGCTTTATTTCTTTGCTTACAAAATCCTTAAATATTGAAATAGTATTCACTTTTGTTTTTCTAAGGCCAACAATTTAATATTCCTGTAAAATGTAATTGTTAAGGGATAAAAAATCTAGTAATGATGATTAGACTGGGTATCCAAAGAAAAATAAAGCGTTCAAGTCTTGTGAATTTGTAGAAAATGGAAACATGTAGACTATATCAACTTTCCAGTCACTTTGTTTGCATAGCTACAGATTTAAATACAGAAGCAGTATATTCTAATCAGTAATTTAAGATTTTTCTTGACCTTCCAATCATTGATATTGGATAGTCTAAATCAGTCAACACTAATAGAGCACTATTAATAAATATAATATATAATTATGTATTTTATAAATATTGTGTAAATTATATTGTAAGTCATATCAGTGGTTAAAAACTGAGCATATATATTGGAAAAGAGTTACTTTGTAAGCAATTGCTAATACAAAGGAATTATTAAGCAGCTTTAAGAAAGTTTATATTTAAGAACAGCTGGGCATGGTAGCTTATATCTGTAATCCTAGCTACTCAGGAAGCTAAGATCTGAGGATCATGGTTTGAAGCCAGCCCACTCAGGAAAGCCCATGAGACTCTTATCTCTAATTAATCCCCAAAATGCTGGAAGTGGAGCCGTGGCTCAAGTGGTAGAGCACTAGCCTTGAGTATAAAAGCTGAGGGAGATACTCAGACCCTGAGTTTAAGCCCCAGAGGAGGAGGAGGAAGAGGAAGAGGAGGAGGAGGAGGAGGAGGAGGAGGAGGAGGAGGAGGAGGAGGAGGAGGAGGAAGAAGAGACCACACTTTTGGTTGCATGGCAGAATACAACAAAAATACCTGCACCCCTATTCACCCAGGCCAGCTCATATCAGACCTATTCACCAAAGCCAGCTGCTATGTTTAGTAACATAAGATCTATTATGCCCTTCCGTTATTACTACTGTCAGCATAAAAGAAAATTCATATCACTGAAGACGTCAATAACTGATTTGCCTTTCAAAGAGAATAAAAAGAGGTTTTTAAGTCATTAAAATTATTTAATTTAAAATGAGTAATATGGTAAGGTTTAGCCAAGAATTCGTGAGAATTCTTGAAGAATCTACATCACAACAGGTTATAAGACCCACAGAGCACTTGGAAGCCTGACCACACATTCTTAAATTACTAACAAAAAATACATTTATATGCAGTCAAGAAAAATGCAAACAGACAACTTTTAAGTTCATTGTATCCTTCAACTAAACAGAATGTACAGAAAAGTAAGATATGAAGTGTCATTTTAAATTAAATTTTTAACAATAATGAATGTATTAGAATTTCTAAAGTTTTTTTAAAGAAATATATTACCAGAATGCCATTCAATAAGCAGAATGAAAAAAAAAAAGAATAAGGAGAAAATAACTTAAATATATTCATGTTCTATAAGGACCAGCCAAAAAACGGTGTGGAGGTGTTTAGCATGCAAAATGAATTTCTTACCTCTTCCTACTGCATGCACAACTGAAGGCCCAAATCCTCGAATCTGGAATCCAAGTCCATCGGCTGAATCTGGAATTTTCACTGTCCTAAAATCAATCCGAAAGTAAAGCAAGATAAATTTTACGTGCTACAATTGATCAAAAGGATAGTCTTCTACACTTTTGCTTATTCATTTAATCAATACACAATAAAGGAATTACAGTGTGAAAGGCACTGGTAGGAAGCCCTTGAAAACAAACATGGTCTTTACGTTCACATAGACATATGAAATGCATCGATATAAGTGCTAAAATTAAACACAGTTGTACCACGGTATATTCTGGAAAAAGAACCTGCTGTGGGAAGGAAAAGGAACAGGTAAATCTAGCTTTGAATTCGCTCCTCCATACTTAAAATAATTTAGAGAAGCTCCTTAAGTTCATTGACACAGAAAGCTTCATAGAACATACACAGAAAAACAACACTATTGAAGCCAGGCCTCCAGTGGCTCAGGCCTGTAATCCTAGCTACTCAGGAAGCTGAGATCCGAGGATGGTTTGAAGCCAGCCAGGGCAGGTAAATCCATGAGATTCATTTTTTAATTAGCTACCCAAAAAGAAGTTGGAAGTGGAGCTATGGCTCAAGTGCAAGAGAATTAGCCTTGAACACAAAACCTCAAGGACAGTGGGTAGACCCTGACTTTAAACCCCAGAGCACCAAAAATAAATAAGTAAATACAAAGAAAGACAATGCTGTTAGCATATAATTTGCAGTGCACTGATGGGGGTACATTGAATGGCAAAGCCTTTGTACAACCACTTAAAGTTTTTTTTTAAGCGAGAGAAAATAAATGAGACCTCTCACAGAAGGAAATAAGCCATCAGAGAGCAGTAATGGAAAGCAAGGAATATTAGAAAAGATGTCACATCATGGGCACCATGGCTTACAACCTATAATCCTAGCTATTCAGGAGGTTGAAATCTGACCACTGTGGTTCCAAGCCAGCCCCAGTAGAAAAGTCTGTGAGACTCTTATTTCTAATTAACACCAAAAATCCCAGAAACGGAGCTGTGGCTCAAATGGTAGAACTCCAACCTTGAACAAAAAGGACAAGCATGGCCCTGAGTTCAAGCCCTAGTATGGCCATTAATGGGTAATATGATTACAAGAAAAAAAGGTCTTCCTTTTGAAAATTTTGTATCCTCTAAATTGTCCATAATAAAGAGGAGCATATTTTCTTATCAAAAGTATATAGATCAAGAAATGGATTTGGATTGAGTACTTTTTACAGGAACTATCATAGAATTAAGGAGACATACGCATGGAGTTTTTTCAGGCTTGATCTTATTGTTTATGACCCCTGAATTGTACCTCATAGCATGAGAAATCCAATAGCTCAACATGCAGTTCTTTATTCTCAATTTGCTGATTTTTTCAGAATCAAAGTCAACCTCACCCAGAGCAAGAAATTGTTGGCAACCAAAGGAAAGCATTATTCCATTGATATTGCCTGTTCAAGCATAAAGCATTTATCACCAAAAGAAACAGAATTCTTCCCATTGCTTAAAGACTAGTATTAGTGGTGAGGGGTATGTTAAATGCTCTAAGGTATGAAGTTGATTTTCAACATTTAATTTGTTAAACTTCCGTTAACCATCCACATATCATGTTTGTAATTCCACAAAAGTCATAACAACTTACTCCCTTGGCTTTGTGCTCACAAGAACTCTTAGAGGCTTTCTGCTGTTTAAGCATGACTTCAGGAAACAGTCCACTTCATTGAAAGGTCTCATAAAAACAAGGTCACCATTAATAGCAAAAATCTTCCTTCCAACTTCCATGCCAGCCATCTGAGAAAGAAATGACAAAAATAATTCAAATAAACTAGTAAAGGTTTTTAGCTTTTACAAGGCTGAGTTTTCCCAGGCTGCTTTTGAACTGAGATTCTCTGAGTCTCAGCCTCCCAAGTAGCTACGATTACCAGCATGAGCAACCAGTGCCCTGGCTAAGATACTCTTCTATCAGTCCAACTTCCTGCCTGCAAACTCCTGGCTTGTTTGACTGCCAGTTAATGATCAACACCAGGGAGAGGACACTTTTTATCAACAGCATAGTCTGATGAAGCTATGCTCTAAAGTGTTCTCTAAAAAAGCCTGAAATATCTTCTCATTGTCCAGGTTCAGTAATGGCATAAGAGACTCAACCAGAGTTCTTCTGTCTGGAGTTAATGTGCCATACATCAAGTTTTATTTTATATATATTCGCAGTTTATTTTTTTTTAAAAGACCTTGGCATTAGCAGGTGGGTGACAAGTTACCACTGACTATAAATACACTCTCAGTTCAAAGTTTTATTTTATTAATTCACACATCTGTTAGTAAGTGTTTGAGTATTGAGATATGTCCTTGTGCATTACGTATTTTACAAGTCAAGCAGCAAAGTGGCCATATTTCAACTGGAAAGAAAGCAGGAAATTCTGTTTAGTCCCAGAACCTAGAATACTACCTAGCCCTATCAACTATTAACTAAATATTTCTGAATAAAAGATTAAACACTAAGGTGATTCCTCTGTTTAAAAACCTGGCCAATTAAGAGAATGTCTGTCATAATCCAGTGAGAAAAAAAATTCAAGGCATGTCCTTTACTGATGGAATTTATGTTCATAGAAAAGACAGACATGGTGGGAAAATCCATTTTCAATATATTTCAATACATTCCTTAGGTGAAGAAGTGGTCCACGTGACATACATAGTAGAGCTGTCATATCCTGCATTATATCCTAGGCAGTCAGTCCCCCAGGGCTGCCTCAGGCACACAGAAGAGGGCCAGAAGTTCAGAGCTGCAATACCCTCACCGCCCCAGCCTTACTTACCTCTGAGTGCCCAGGCAGAGCCTCGGGTGCCACAAATCCCAAAGAAAGCATATCCAGAGATACTACCTTTTGTAAATATACCCAATGATTAATTTCAGTTTACTCTAGAACTTTAATATTTGTATATACATGCAATAAATTTGAATGAAAGGACTAATTTGCATTACCTCAGCATTAGATCCCTTTTCTACCAACTTGATGATGGGAACTTTATTTTTGTCTTCTAGCCCAAATCCATAGCTGCCTTCATTAGACTTAATCTGAAATGTAAAATATTAATGTTGTTGATTAAACAACTATGAAGAAGGTTACTAATAAAATTGAATGATATGAGAGGTATTACTATCAGACATGTTAATGTTAGTACAGTTCACTGCTAATCGATAATCAACCCAAAATTTTATAGATTAATCCACCTACCAACAGTGATTTAGCTATCACATTTTCCACAACTTTTAAATCATGTTTCATAAGTCGATGTTTCATATTTGATCCTTCCATTTCCTCATCCGCAAAAAAACGGAAAAGCAGGGGCTCATCTTTGAACTCACTTTTTTCAAGGACTACAGAAATAGAGCAAAACAATTATTTCACTTCGTTAAAAAAAAACACACTTTCCATACCAGTAGGACTTCATATTTCCATACCAGCAAGACCTGCTTACAAACTAAATTTCATATTCCCAGACAAATCAGTCATAAATATCCCCAATTATTGTCTGTTTATATAATCTCAAGCCAATGCTTCCTTCTAGCTTACTGTTGTTACCTAAAGGGTTTCAGATCTTGGAAACAGTAGGATTTTTCTAAAATTAATTCTTCCTATTCTAATAAAGTCTGTTATTATCCAGATTAAAAGTAAAAGAATTTAAGTAAAAGGATATAAGAAGCTCAAAATGCACACACTCTAAATGTAGAAATGTTAACTTTTAGTAAACATTTTAATTTTTAATAGCCTGAACAATTATAGGAAAATTCAAATGGGTTGTGGTTTAGCTTTCTAAGTGTCTAGGGACACTTGTTTCAAAACTTCAAAGCAGAAATGTCTTCTGGATGAAATATGATCTTAGTTTCCATGAATTACTAATTATTTGATGTTTTAAAACAATGTTCTTGAATAAACCCTTTTATTTTCGTTTTTCCCCTTCCTTTCTTCCTTTTCTTTATGTGAAGGTATTGAGGGCCTTGAACTCAGGGCACTGTCCCTTAATTTTTTCACTCAAGGCTGGTGTTCTACCACTTAAGCCACCACCACTCAGCTTCAAATTAACCCTATTTCTAAAAGGGACTTATCTCCCCTTTAAACCTTTATGTTCTCCCCAAGCCCCTAAGATACCCAGTTTGTACTCAACAATATAAGATTTTATCTTTGGGCAACCTTTGTTTCACCTAAGGCTAAATACTGACAGAAGAGTTTCTACTGAATCAGATTTTGACAGCTGTCAAAAAGACTTTGAAAAGAAATCTATTTCTAATTCATCTGTCTTTAGTACCTTGAAGGCTAACTCATAGATCTAGTTGCTAAAAGGAACACAGTAGTCTCTGGTCACAATAGAAAGTCAGGCTTTGAGAAGAATCAGTCCAAGTTTGGGACTGGTTCTGAGTATGACAACATGAAAGTTACTTTAACACTCTGAACTTTAATTTTCTCATGTTCAAAATGAAGGCAATTAAAACCTTCATAATGTTACATTAGACTAAAATGAGGTAATGCATGTAAATAACTTGGCATATTGCAAGCAATCCAAAAGAACCTTTTACTTCATTATTTTTTCAGAGTCCCAACAAGTAATTATTGACCAGATGGATGGAATATATAATGGATAGAAGATTAGATGCAACATGAATTAAATGAATCCACCAGCCAATAAGTAATAGGCAGCATGAGCTACAGAAGACCACAGAAATGAGAATTTATTTCTGATTGGGTCAAGTCTTGTCTGAATGACCTAAGCAGAATTCACATGGTGCTACAGCTGTTTTCCCCCACAAAGATCCCATAAAAAAGGAGCAACAGAAAGAATCAGGAAAGATAGGAATGAGTCAAACTTGTTGTGCTTTAGTGATGGACTTTTAAAGGGATAACTTGTAACTCAATATTTTACAAAACTTAGACTCAGTACTTTAATATTCAGATCAAATTATTGTTGCTGATACTTTAAGGTAAAGAGAAAAACCACTGAAACTTTGGGGATTTTCTGTTTGATATTACAGTTTTCATTCTTTATAATGAGGCAATTTCTTCCAATCAGTCATTTTTTTCTTTGGGTAATAATATTTCTATATCATAATGTAGTGATCTAGGCAGAGCAAGATATCACAGAATTCTTCAAAGAATAGGCAATAAACAACTTTCTAAAAACAACTAATAGATATGAGTGCTATCAAATATGTTTACAATCATAGTGGTAACTGAAAATATAATGTTTGAATTTAATCCCTTCCACCAAATATCTCTATAAGATGGTACAAATCTGGAGAAGTAAAACTAAGTCACTAAGCAAGAAAGACACTCAAACTCTAATAATAAGGAAACATCTTCCCAGAGATCTATAATTTAATTCTCTAAAGTAACATCGAAAATATTTTCCTAAAAAGAACAATAAACATTTAACCACATTTAACCACAGTTAGTTGTATATTGTTACTCAAAAGTAAACCAGGATTCTGTAATTTGAAATCAATATAAAGATGTATTTGAGCTTTCTGAAAGCTAAACCAAAGTACTCACTCAAGCTCGGCTCTTGTGAAATTAGTAAATTCTGGAGAAAGGACAGCGAAGTTATGGCAGCTGGTAAATGACAGCAATTTGACAGACACAACACTAGTGGTAAAATGGATTGCAGATGGTGTGACTCAACATGAACCCAGGGCAAGACTCAGTCTTGCTGGTTCACATTGACCTCATTGGAACCCTGAGTCACTCCCATGTCCCAAGAAGAATCCAAACAATGAATTACATCTGTAAACTTCTCCTCACCATGGTGCATAAATCCATTGTCACACAGTCCAACACCAAATATCATTGCCTCTTCTCTGGTGCGGCAATCCCCCTGTGAACCAAAGAAGCATTGTGCATGTTACTAGGCAACCAAAGGTTTGGCTGGGTCTTAGTAAATTCCATATTCTCATACTGCATTCAGATAAAGCATTCATACAGTACAGCATCCATGGCTTCATAAGACAAGATTGATCTAATTGTTATAAGCCATGGATACATGTACTGCAAACAAAGTCTTTGTTATTCAATGCAAAAATTTAGTATTTCTTTTTGTGTGTGTGTTGTGTGTGTGTGTGTCTGTCTGTCTGTCTGTCTGTCTGCCTGCCTGCCTGTCTGTCTGTACCAATACTGGGACTTGAGATCAGGTCCTAGTCACTGTCCCTTAGTTTCTTCTGCTCAATGCTGGCACTTCACCGTTTGAGCTACAGCTCCACTTCTGGCTTCTTGGTGATTAACTGAACATAAGAATCTCATGGACTTTCCTGCTCAGTTTCTTGAATAGTCAGGGTTACAGGTATGAGCCACTGTAACTTTAAGATTTGTTGAGAAAAAGATCTTATTAAATATGAAAATAATACAAGTAGAAAATGTGTACTGCTTTTATGAATTATCCCTTTCTGTAAGTTGTCTCTCTTCTTTCTTAAATGGTATCTCCCAAATATGCATTAGAGAAATAGACTATAAAGTGACAATGCACTATAAAGGTAAGGAAAAGTACATGATCTCAGTCCTCAGTCCTCCCTTCCACCAAATATCTCTGAACCTGAAGGGCCCCTTAAGCATCCTGGGGTGGGGAACATCTGGCCCAAGGGCCATTTAAGGCCCATGAAATCATTTGGTACATGACAGGTCAGAAACATGTGCTTCTTGTCCACTCTCACTGGCTGCTCTGGCCCAACTGTCTATATTGATCATTTCATATGGCCTGAAAATGATGTTATAATATCAAAATGGCCCTTGGTAGGAAAAAGGCTCTCTGGATGGTGACTTGTAAGACTGTAAGAGAAAACTGTTCGCTAAGCCAGCAAATGCAAACTTCTCTTTCACAATCTTGTCAAGAAAATAATCAGCACATGACACAATCCAACAATATTGCTAAAAGCAATTTTGTTGCAGTTTTCATATAGAAAACACCCATTTAATATTGATATGACATTGAAATCATGAATCTATATGAATATGTAGGTATCTGTGTATGCACATAACCTCACAATTATATATTTCAATGGGTTAAGCTTTTTCTCACACATCATCTAATTTCTGTCTTAGTCCTATATTTTTTAACACTTAGGTACTCTCTCAAATCTAGTCTTTTTTGTTCCTATTCAACTTCTGTCTTCAACATTTTCATCCAAATTGCCATGCTTTTCAGACTTTCTCCAATAAGCTGCTGTAGAATTCACATGCACAGTGTGTGTCCCAATAATGAGGCTTGAACTCATAGCCTTATGCTCTTGTTTAGATTTTTCCACTCAAGCCTGGCACTCTATCACTTGAGCCACACTTCTATTTCCTGTTCTTTGCTGATTAATTGGAGATAAGCATCTCTGGGATTTGTCTGTCCCCAGTGGCTTCCTCCGATCTCAGCTTCCACTGTAGCTAGTATTATAGTCATGAGTCTTCATCCCAGCTTTCAAGACCCTTTATGTCCTGTTTTTGTAAAAAAGTATTTTTATGATCTTTAAGTAGCTGTACATAGGAGCTGCCTTTCACCAGAGCAGTTTATAAGTCAGTGTATCTTAACCAATGTCATCCCTTTCAATATTCTCACACACCTCTACCAACTTACTCCCTTCCCTTGCTTATCTTATTTTTAGGTTAGGTATTAACATTTTTGCAATTTAACAAAGCAGTTATGTGCACAATACACCTTGATCTGTGTCACCACTTCCACATCTCTGTCTCACTTTGACCCATCCCTTGCCTTATATTTCTCAATTCTGTGATATATACAATGAACTCTTGCCAACATTTCCACTTCCACTCTTCTACCCCTCTCCTCCTGGCCACACCCCCCCCCCCCTTCTTGCAAGTACCCATTTCCTTGTACTTATTTAACATAGCTTGTATAGTTTCCCTCATTTGTAGCTAGAATGTGCCAATAAATATACAAGTAAATACCATCAGTGGTAAGTAAGGGATTACAAATTTATTAACTGAAGTGTAAGAGTCTCTATGAAGAGCCCAAATAATATAATTCTTTAAAAAGACTAAGTTGAAGCCATGTCCTGCTTTTATTCTGAAGTGTGGCTGAATAGCCACATATTTTGCTCTAGGCAACTTGGTCTTACTTACATACTCACATATTGATTTGTGCTTATAATATTTCTTCACCCTTCACACATTTAAATTCTTCTTATCTTTCTATAAAGAGCCAAGGTAAGTTCTGCCTCATGCTGGGATGGCTGCAACCCTGCTAACTACCAAAGCTTTACCATTCAAGGGCTCCAGACTCCATATAAGTAACTCTTTGAAAATCTCTTACACAAAATTCTTCTATGTATTGTGGAAGTGTTAAAGATCAAATAATGAAATACTCAAACATAAAACATTGTCAGCCTTCTAGCAATTCAAAGCTAGTGAGGGTAAGTTCAAAAGTGGTGCACAGTCAGAACCATTATCTATTAGTATAGTAAATGATCCCAACCAGGCCAACACACCCAGGGAATAAGGACTATTAAAAACTCTGAGTGAGGGACTGGGAAAGTGGCTCAGTGGTAGAGCGCTTGCCTTGCATACATGAGGCCCTGGGTTCGATTCCTCAGTACCACAAAAGCAAAAAGAAAAAAGCTGGAAGTGGTGCTGTGGCTCAAGTGGTAGAGTGCTAGCCTTGAGCTGAAGAGCTGAGGAACAGCGCCCAGGCCCAGAGTTCAGGCCCCACGACCAGATCCTCCCCCCAAAAAAAGCAAAAAATCTCTGAGTGAGCTTGGAGGACCTGGTAAAACTTACAAGGGAAATGATATTGCAACAGTTTTACATGGTTTATAAAAATCAGTCCAACAGACTCAAGCTCCTTGATGGTGTAAAAAAAAAAAAAAAAAAAAAAAAAAGGCCACTTACTGTTTTATTAGTTTGTTGTCTTTTAAATGCTTATTTAAATGTTAAGCTTGTAATAAAGTTTTATGTGATTATTTATTTAAATGCTATACTGGTCAGGCTAATGTCAAATTAACACTGCAGTGTAGTAATATGACCTGAAATGTTTTAGTATCCCTATGGTTTTGAAAATCCTAGTAGTGCCATATAGATCTGGCAAGCATCAAAGGCAAAAGAAAACTGCTTAGGTGTGAAAAAAACAAGGCATTATTTAATCATAAATTTTAATGGTGTATACACAAATCACAACTTATACAAATTAAAAGTTTTAGAAGTATATTTATGCACTTGTCCACTAGAAAGATGTTTACTTCACAGAAGTTATTATCTTACAAACCATTATAGTCTAAGTAGAAAAAAATGTATTAAGCAAACAATCTCACTATTTCCAAGATGATACTGCTCGAGATACTAAAGACAGCTTTTGAATCTAGACTGCACTTGAAAACAATGTACAGACTACAGTACTGCCACCAGCTTTTTTACTCTGGCCTGTAAAGCTGTCCAAATCATTCAATAAATACAAGTCAATACTGGAAAGGAAATCTTAGTTGAAGGTCTTAGTGGCAAAAGACCTTTCCTAAATTATAATCTGTTCTTCCTATTAGATTGAGCACTTTAGCTTGATCTATCATTCAATTACGACGCCCAGGCTATTTTAATCTGAAGCTTAAGCATAAGAAACGAGTACATATGACATTTAACATTTGTATACATTTTACCACATCAGAATCAAAAAGATTCAGTGACAATAAGGTATGTGGAGCTGTAAGTGGTAAATAGCTACAAAAACCAGGATCTAGAAAGATGAAGTAACTTGTTCAAGTTTTCCTATGAGTTACTAGCAGAGCTGGCCTCAAATTCCAGTATTTAGTGCAATTTCTAAAAGATGTTGCATTTAGGAAAGCCAAAGGAACATTTCAGCTTGGTCCAGATTTTTTTAATTTAGTCTATTTTTATAGTGCCTTACTCTTGGAAAATAAAAGTGTCACATTTTTAAAGGTGATCATTGATTTCCTGAGTTAAATACAACTGGAAGAATTTTTTTCTTGCAATCAAGTTAGGTTAGATTATTTGTAGGAAAATGGATGAACTGGAGATCATCATGTTGAGTGAAGAGAGCTGAGTTCAGAAAGCCAAGTTCTAACTTGTTTCTGGAGGGCACACTGAAATGATGATGATGATAATGATGGTGATGATGATGGCAATGGTGATGTATAGTAATGGTATTGGGATGTAAAAGTAAAGGCAGAATCATCTAGGAGGGGATCAGAAGAAGCAGGGAAGAGAAAGAAAGGGACTCTGAGGGGTGAAGAGGATCCAAAGAATATAAACTTTTATTAAGTACCAGCCTTTACTTCAAACACAATTTTTTAGGGATTCTATGTACTACACAAGAAGTTCACATGAATTCTGTGTGAAATTCCATCCCAGCCATTGAATGTAGAGTCCATTCTAGTAAAGTAAGCTGACCTCAGTTCAGGAATGTTTCTAATACTGGGATAGCAATGGATAGACAAATTATCTCAAAGCAATTGTTTGTTTTCCTCCAAAATGTTAATATCTAAATGTAAAAATTTGTGTCATAAAATTCAATTATAGCGATCTTGGAAAGTCTAGAGACTAAAGCTCCATGTGCAAAGATAAGCTAAATATGGCTTATTATAAATGAAATAAAAATAAACATTTTATGATAAGCTACCAAATTATCACTCTCATTCTTTCCCTCTACTTCTGTGGTGATATGGATTGAACCCAGAGTACTGTGCATAGCAGGCAAGCACTCTACCACTGAGCTAAATCCTCTGTTCTACATATTCTCAGTATCAGCTGTCAGAACCCAAATCCTGAGAGGCACACATCAAGAACAATAATAAAATTTGTACTTTCCTGTTTCAAAGGCATGCAGACACAGTAAAGCTCAAATTATTGAAGTACAATTTTTTATCTCAGAGGAGAAAAAGGCAAAGGAACATCATAAACATTTGCTTGGACTTATCAACTGATATTTTAAAAGAAATCAGTGGAAAAAATGCCAAGTATTTTAGAATCTAAACATAGCTATTCTTCCATGATACTCAAATTTTGCTTAGTGCTTTCTGATGGCTCTCAGCTGTTATTTTAAAAATAGGGAAGACAAGATAGCATAGCTCGTGTGCTTTACAACTCTAAAGGTGAGCTGAGCACCAGTGGCTCCCACTTGTAATCCTAGCTACTCAGGAGGCTGAGATCTGAGGGTTGCAATTTGAAAGACAGGAAAGACCCAATTAACCACCAAAAAGCCAGAAGTGGAGCTATGGCTCAAGTGGTAGAGAAAAAGCCTTGAGGAATAAAAGCATCTAGGGAGCAGCACCCAAGTTCAAGGCCCAGGACGACCAGCACACAAACACACAAACACCAGAATTCGGTGGGTTAATACTAGCTGTTTAAACTTGAGCAAGTTAGTTCATGCTGCTTTGTCTACAGGAAGCTTGGGTTTTGTAAACACTAACACATAATTAAAGTTTAAAGCGGCAATAAATAGAACTCAACAACTCCAATTTGTCGATTTACCTGTGCAATTAACCAGTCTATTAATTTGTTGGCCATCACCACAGATTTATAGGTCCTTAAATGGTAATCTTTATCTCTACAAAAGAAAGAGAAACCAAAAGCATTAATCAAGGGGCTAAGTGAGCACAAAAACTTTCAAATAGTATCCATGTATAGCAGGAAAGTTTACCAGTGTAATCTGAATCACTTGCCCCAATTATATGCAAATAAGGAAGGTCAGGCATGTACAACATCTGAAATGAGGGAAAGACAAGCCCACAATAGCACCAAAGCAGGACCATCTCTTTTTGCAAATATTCTTTTTTTCCCTCTCAAACATTTTTAAGTCTTTTATTGTTATGATAAAGATGATATACAGAGGGGTTACTGTTTCATAAGTCAGGTAATGAGTTCATTTCTTCTTGGACCATATCACCCCTTCCTTCGTTCTCTCCCAGTTTTGCCCTCCCATTGCCAGCCGCACATTGTATAGCTCATTTTCAACCTAGTGTCTAGTGAATACCACTGCTGCATCTTTACCATTTGTCCCTCCACTTTTACTTGCACATATTCTTATATGCAAATAGATTACTAATGCTGTATCTGGTAATAGTTTACTTAGAAACATAACATCTCAGTAATAAAGGGATAATAGAAATAAATTTCTCCCCTTAAATAGTGGTAGATTCTACTAAAAACTGTCCTCAGATAATACACAAAGTAATACACTTTATTTCTGCTTTTGCTTTCTTCAAGGAGACAGCATTTTATTTTATGACTATTCATGCTCTGCTCTTCTGAAATTCCCACAGGCCTATTCTGAGGTAGACACATATAAGTTGTCATACACTCTGTTTAACCAATGTAAGATCATTGTGAATCCACATTCTTAAAGAACACAGAGCCCAACTGGTTTTCCATATCTCAGTCTCAGATCAGAACCCTTCCCAGAACTAAAAAATCTTTTAGAATTTAGATACTAAGCTGGGCACCGGTGGCTCACACCTGTAATCCTAGCTACTCAGGAGGCTGAGATCTGAGGATTGCTGTTCAAAATCTGCCCTAGCAGGGATGTCTGTGAGACTCTTATCTCCAGTTAACTACCAGAAAACCCAAAAGTGGTGCTGTGGCTCAAATCGTAGAGCACTTGCCGTGAGCTGAAGAGCTCAGGGACAGTGCCCAGGCCCAGAGTTAAAGCCTCATGACTGACCAAAAAAAAAAAAAAATTTAAATACCAGACAAATCTCATGATCAGATCTGAGCCTAAGGGCAGAAATCTATAACGATTCATTTTGCTACCCTGGATCAAAAGATAATGAGAAAATGACAGCCCTTTCAAATTGTCAAAAAATGCAAAATGCAAGCTTGAACAGCATAATAATTACTGGCTACATTAACTGTCCTTTAGTGTCTGTCAGTAATTACAATTAATATTTACATCCTTTTACTCACTTGCTTAAAAAAGTTCCCTGAAATAAGATTGAAATTTCTGAGATTTCACTAATAAGTGAACAACAATAGTTAATAAATAAATATTAGGGTTGTTTTTGTTTTTTGAATCTATGTCCATATTACTGATTAAAAAACATAGTTTTCACTTTGGTTTTTATAAGCATCAAGAAAGAAAATGGCAGTGTATTATAGACCACAGACTTTTACACCAAGTAATTTCTCTGTGTAAACATTTAATATGTGTCAACACATATTAAAAACATAGACATCACACATTTAATCTCTTTTCTTTTTATCCCATAAATTTTTCCTTGTCAACACATAAACAACTGCAATTGCTAGCAAAAGAACAATTCCTTCTTATCAGCTCATGAGGAATATAACTCTTGATAAGAGATATCATATGTTAAAAATATATTTGAAGAACATATTTTCATGCACATGAAGTCTATATATAAACAAGTGACACAGAGAATTAAACCAGAACTATTTTCCCTCCTTTTAGCAAGGAAAAAGTAGAATACTCTGTTGTAATTATTTAGTATTATGTTATCCAAAACATTTAAATGTTGTGTGTGTGTGTGTGTGTGTGTGTGTGTGTGTGTACTGGGGGTTGAACTCCAGGCTTCTCACTCTCATTTGGATTTTTCATTCAAGGCTGGTGCTCGACCACTTGAGCTACACATACACATTTGACTTTTGCTGGCAATCCTGCATGCACTATTTTTGATCAGTGTGAATGGGCATTCCTCACACTAAAATAGGGACTGCATTTCTTTAGTGAAAAACAGAATGAAAAGTAGAAATACCAAATACATCAAATATTCAAATTCTTTTCAGAAATAATTCATGCATTTTTGTTCTGAAAAAAATATGTTAGTCAACAAAATCCATATAACATCTGGTCATATGAAATTAGCTAAACATTCCATCAGTTAATAGATACATATACATAGTATAAAAGTACACTATTATTCTGTTAATAATTATACAAACCACACTATATTTTATTGTTTTTCTAAAGCTATAAACTGAAAAAAACTGATTCTTTTTATAGAAAAGTCTGTATCTATTTTGAAAAATGTGTTAGTCAATAAAATCCATATAACATTTGGCCATATGACATTAGCTTAACATTTCATACTTAATGGATATGTATACATAGTATAAAAGTACAAAAAATTACATTGTTCTTCTGTTATTAATAATTACACAAAGCTCACTATTTCCCATTGTTTATCTAAAGATATAAACAGAAAATACTGATCTTTTTTAAAAGTCTGTATCTATGAAAATGCAAATACAAAAGCTAAATTGAAAATAAAATTATATTTATTAAGTCCAAAGTAATTCTTAATTTTTAAGTACAAAAGACTCTTCTTGACAAAAAGCCTATTAGCCAAAATACCATAAAATAAAGTACCTACCAAATATGTGATTATGTAGTTTTATTTTATTTTTTTAGTTAAATTATCACTTTATTTGAAAATATCAAAGGAAAAAAGGGGGGTAAATGAGAACAGCACATGATAAATAATTTTAGTATTTATGACTTTCTTTGAATGAACTAGTTTGCCAGGATGATTCCTTCCACTCTATTATGTCATGTGTCATCCAGATGGAGCTAATGACAGAAATGAAGAAAAGAGAGGAACCAAAATTTTGTGCTTTCCAAACAGTAAGTTGCTTTGTAATGATTCAGAACTTGAAATCCATGAGATAACTGATCACAGAAGCACCAGAAATGTGATTTATTATGAATGGTGTCACATTGGAGGATACGGATAAAATAGAAACAAGCTCTGCATAATATATGACAATTTGTTCTATATTGTCTCAATAAATAACTATTCCCCCAACTTTGTGTTTGAAACATACTTTGTGTAAGTTTTGTTTTGTTGCCTCAATTTAGGGGCTCGAAGTAGCTACTGCTGTCACCCTGTGGTTGGAAGTTCATTATTCCTGGATTTTTTATAGTTTAATTTTAAAAAGTTAATAGTAAGAAATCAAAATGGTTAAAAAACAGTACTTACAAATCCTCTCCTATTCAGTTAGCTATCATTTATTAAATATTAATTGAATGTGGATTATTTCATTTTCAACTCTTTAATGTGTTGTGCAAAATAATTTTTTTATTGTGAAAATACTGTACTAAGGGTTACAATTACATGGGCAAGATAATGAATATATTTCTTATCAAGCATTGTCGCCTCCTCCTTTGTTTCCCCTTCCCATCCCTTTCCATCCTCCCCCCCTTCTCCCCCCGACCACCCTCCCCAAACTTGTCAAGTTCGTTTTTCGACATAACAACTTGGACATCTCATTGTTGCAATGGGTACAACTGTATCCCTACTTAAATGATTTGTTTTTGCTCTTCCCCTCCAGAAATTATACCAACATCAAATACAGTGAGAGCAGGGGTTATACCGTGGGGGAGGGACATACAAAGCAACAAAGAAATCATCTGATAAATATGTTAGAAATAATTGTATGAAAGAAAAAACATTTGAATACTTGGGTTCATTTCACTTAACATCAACTTATCTGACCTTTTCTGCTTGTCTCAGACATATACTAGTTATTGCAAATAAGGGAAACCATGGGACCTATATTTCTTTGGGCCTGGCTTACTTCACTTAATATAAGTTTCTCCAACCCCATGTAGAATGGTTATAATCAAGAACTCTTAATAACAACAGATGCTGGAGGGGATGTGGACAGAAGGGAACCCTACTGCATTGTTGGTGGGAGTGTAAACTTGTTCAACCACTTTGGAAAGTAGTATGGAGGTTCCTCAAAAGATTCCACATAGAGCTCCGCTATGACCCAGCAATCCCACTTTTGGGCATTCACCCAAATGATCATAAACAAGACCATACTAAAGCTATGTTTATCGCAGCATTATTTACCATAGCTAAGATGTGGAAACAACCCAGATGCCCCTCAGTAGATGAATGGATCAAGAAAATGTGATATATATACACAATGGAATTCTATGCCTCCATCAGAAAGAATTACATGTGCAAAATAATTTCTAAAAATAATTTTAGAAAGTATAATAAGCATAGGCCATATTTCATAATTAGAATCTTAGAGAAAATTGGGGATATTTTAAGATTATTTACTTAAAGTAGTGTCTGAAAGTAAAATTTTCACTTTGGGAAAACAAATAAGATAAACCAAGTACTAACAAACAATGTAAAGATATTGATTTATGATTTCCAGAGTTTAAAAATCACTCACCTTATCACTGGAGTAAATAGACTATGGAGACGACAATATAATCTTACACCCTGCGTAAAACCAAAACATATCAACAGCAGGTAAGATCACTCAAGGAAAATGGCAACAATATTTGGAAATAACAAGCAAATTTACTGTCAGTTTCCTAGAATCGTTAACACCATCTCAGTCAACTTAACAATTATTCCAATGTAGTGATAAATCATTACAAAATAAGATTAAGTGGTGCATTTAGTTTGTCATGCACATACATATTTCAAAGTTCTTGTACATTATTTTCTTAAAATGCAAAATTATTTTTCTTGAAATGCAAAATTTCAAGACATCACATAGCAAAAGATATAGCAATTTGCCTATTACGTTACAAGATAACATAAAATTTAAGGTGGAAATTTAAAATGGAAAGATTTGTATTGAATCTATTTTTGCATTTGCATACTTTAAATTTATTCACTGACCGTAGGTTGCTACAGGCAAAACAGTTCACACACACACACACACACACACACACACACACACACACACACACACACACACATCTTCTGAAAAAGGAAACAGAATCACTTCTTTTAAGAACAAAAAATAATCTAACATTAGAATTTTTAAAATACTAAAAAGAAATCAAAAGGCATGCTGGTATATGTGCCTCGGAATCTTTTTATCTTAAGTCTCTCAAAGAGCTTTTGATTTTTTCCAAGCAAGACAACAATGCTTCTGCTACAGAAGAGGTAATGGGAGAGGATGTTACCTTTGAAATCACATCCTGCATCTCATTCCTTGGGTAAAAGGTGCCATCATCATAGCGAAATCTATACAACATCTGCTCTGGCTTGAACTGATGTTTATCAGTAACTGTGAACACAAGAGAATATGAACACATCAAATGATCCACACAGTGGCAGTAAAAATGAAGCTATGAAATACTATTCCAGAATTTTTAAACTTTTATAAGATTTTTCTACATATATTTTTTAATGTAAAAATATTGTACAGAGGGGTTATAGTTACATGAGCAAGGAAATGAGTCCATTTCGTATGGATCATTGTTACCTCTTCCTTTGTTTTTCCCCTACCATCCCTTCTCTCCCCACCCCTCTCACCCCCCTACACCCCTCAAGTTGTAAAATTCATTTTCAACATAGTGTCCTGTACATCTCATTGTTACAGTGGGTTAACCTGTATCCTTGTTTCAGCATTTTGTCATTTCCCATTCCCTCCCCAAATTAGAAAAATGTATATAGAAGATGCAGGGCACTTGAATCAAATACAGTGAAAACAGCAGGGGTTATATCATGGGGGAAGAACATACAAAAAAATCACATCACACATTATAAATACATTAAAAACAATAGCAAGAAAGATCCAACCACTTGTGTCCCTATCTTGGGGTTCATTAGCATCATCTTATATGGTCTCTGTACATAGCTTTTGACCTTTACTGCTTTCAAAACAGCAATCCAATCATTTTGTAGTAAAATCATAGGGTTTACTCATTCAGTATTCTTACAATTTCCCCCCTCCCTTTTTTTCAGAGCTTGGGCCCTGTCCCTGCATCTCTTTGTGCTCAAGGCCAGCAATATACCATTTGACTAGTTTATTGGAGATAGGAGTCTCATGGACTTCCCTTCCCGGGCTGGCTTTGAACCACGATCCTCATATCTCTGTCTCCTGAGTAGCTAGGATTATGGACATGAGCCACCGCAGTTGGCTTTACAATTTCTTTGTCATGATCTGTGAGAAAAATTGATATTATTGATATCCAGGTGGCATAATATCTCAATGGATATATGATAAAAAAAACATGCATTTGTATATTTTAAACGAATGTAGTTTAAACTTACAAATTACATATAAAATATGCAAAGCGCATATTTCTATTTATGTAAATCTACGTAGAAGTAACCTTCTAAGAGCAAATATGATACTCACACTAATGATAAATGTGATTTGACTCTCAGTCCTAGCCTTTATCTATTCTATCACATAGTGATTATGCCAAGACCACACATACACAAATCCTGACTGCATTTGGACCTCCAGGGTAGATTAAATAAGTTCAGTATAACTATTTTGAACTGTGCTATCGTTCTTACACTAAGAAATTCTTCTCCTACATGTCACTTGAATTCTTTAATCAGTGAAAACTAGGAATGGTCATGCTTCATTAAAATTCTGATGATCCTATTCCTAGGATGTGCTGGTTTGACAGGTGAATTCCAGAAAGCACCAAAAGAACAATTAACGTAAACCCTTCTCAAACGCTTCTGAAAACTTGAACGGAACATTCCTAAACTTATTTTACAAGGTCAGATGAGGACACTAAAGAAATAAAAATTTCAGGCCAGTATTCCTGATAAGCCCAGATACAAAAATCCTCAACATTGTTCCAACAAAATAGTATCCAAATTCAACAAGATATCAGAAGATTCATACACCATAATAAGTGGTATTTATCCTTAAAGCAAGAGGACTCAACACTAAATACAGCCAATGAATATGAACTTTATATTAACACATGAGGGATAACATCCTATAAAGAGCTCAACAGATATAGAAAGGGCATGAAACAAAATTCAATATTCCTCCTGAATAAAAATTCTCAACAACTTGCATATATAAGGAATACAAGTTAGCACAGTACAGGAAGTTAATATCTAAAGCATATTTGGAATTTATTCAACTCAATATTAAAAATATGAACAAACCAGCCAGGTGCCAATGGTTTATGACTATGCAGGAGGCTGAGATTGGGAAGATTTTGCTTGAGGCAAAAATGTTGGTGAGACTCCATCTTAGTAGAAAAGGTTGGGTGTGGTAGCATGTACCTGTCATCCTAGTAATGACAGAAAGCATAAATAGGAGATCACAATCCAGGCTCCGCTGGGTAAAAGGTGAGCCCTTACCACATAAAAGGCTGGAGGTGTGCCTCACGCAATGGAGTGCCTACCTAGAAATTACTGGTCTGGATTCAAATCCAGGTACTATTAATACACACACACCAAAAATTGAGCAAAGGACCTAGGTAGATACTTTTCCAAAATAAAATAAATTGAGGAGTGTTCCAACAGGCATATGGAAGGGGGCTAAGTAAATACAGCCACAAGGAAATGCAAATAAAACCCCACAATGCAAGATAACCTAGTAACTATTTTTTTTGTCTGTTGTGGGGCTTGAACTATGGGCCTGGGTGCTGTCCCTCAGCTCTTCAGCTCAAGGTGACCATTTGAGTCACAGCATCACTTCCCATTTTCTGGTGGTTAATTGGATAAGTGTCTCACAGACCTTCCTGCCTGGGCTGGCTTTGAACGGCAATCCTCAGATCTTAGCCTCCTGCGTAGCTAAGATTACAGGCGTGAGCCCCAGTGCCCAGCTTCCTAGTAACTCTTATGATAGCTATTATCAAAAAAAAAAAATCAAGTGTTGATGGAGATATGGAAAGATTTGTAAAAACCATTAAGAAAACAAACAATCACATGATACAGCCATCTTCACTTCTGTATGTGTGTACATATAATATATGGAAATATATTCTATCACACATATATATCTCCATTTTTATAGCTATAGATATATCTATATAGATATATCTATATAGATATATCTATATCTCCATATAAAGATGGAGATAGATATAGATATGTATGTATCTATATAAAGAGAATAGGTATGCAAAAAGAGAATAGGTATGCTGCAGTGTATTTGGGAATGCAGCATTACTCACAATAGCCAAGACACTTAAGCTCCTGAGGGTCCAGTAAGGATAACCAGAGACAAAAAATGTGGTAAAATGTAATGTATACTTGAAAAATTGCTGAGAGTAGAACTTAAATGCTCATAGCACACACACACACACACACACACACACACACACACACACAACACACACACAAATACTGATGGATGTGTTCACTAGGTTGTGATCTTTTGACAATTTGTATGCATATCAAAACATGTTAGTAACATAGATACATATAGATTTTATCAATTATATCTTAATATAACTAGGCTGAGAAGACTCTGATTAAAATCTCTTCTGTATTTTTTTCTCCAGGATAAATTATTTTTATACAGTATAATAAAAAAAAAGGACTGTTCTAGAAAGAAAAAAGAAAAAAAAACTTTAAAATAAAGCTCAGAGTTTATTTGTAATTTTATTTTTTGCCAGGGAATCTAACATGTGTAGATGAGAAATTTTCTTGCAAGAAGCTACTTTCAAAGTTAGGTAGAAAACCTTGGCCTACATTTCATCTTGGAAAAATGTCATAAAAGGAAATAAAAAGTTGTCAGAATTAATTCCATTAACTACATTTGATGAATCCAAAAGAATGTCAAAAGACTTGCTAGAAAACATATGCACCTATGCACATGAGCACACACACAAACACACAAAACATATCAAGTTTTAGCTCATTTACCTAGACAATTTAAACTTTGTATGGTCAAAGGACCATAAAATTGAGCCAACATTGTTGAAAATAAAAAATAGTCAGCATATTGTGTGGCAACTTTTTATCCTAAGCCAAGCACTAAAAAAAAGCATAAGAGAAAAATAAAATTAAGAGACATATTTTGAAATTCTAAGGTTTCAAGCTCAGTAATATATTTCTTCTATGCAATCTGCCTGTACCCATTTTTATCTGTTAATATGTACTGAAATAAATTATCATCTCAATATTTCAAGATTCAAGGACTGTCTCTTACTACAGTAAAGCAAGTGGTAGTTGGACTTATTTAAACTAGAGCGAAAAACTGTAAGACAAGCAAACTTGTGGGTTTAATCATTACTAATTGGGCCAATGAAAAAAATCTAAATTGTTACCTTGTTAATTAGCAAATGGGGATGAATTCAAATCCACAATTCAATAGGTATTTTTGTATGGAAAATGGATTTACTAACCAATCAGAGGTCAAGTGTTCACTTGAGAAAAGTTGCTTACAGCAATCTTTCATCCCTCTGAATGAGGGATGCACAGGAACCAGGACCGAGACCCATAGCAGGAGGTAAAGGGATGTGAGAGAAAAGGGACTCTGACTTGTTGCATTGGCTAATTTCTGTGATGTAAGTACTTCCTCTCCAGCCAATTTCAAACTACCAACTTGAACTTATTGGCCATGGAGATCATGGTGCAAGGACATACCATGACGCTATTTCCACCAAGCAGAGGTAACTGAAATAACTTCAACAACACAGGGAATAGTGAAATGCAGCGAAATTATTAGGCAATGTCACCATTGTATTAGGTTATGCATATGGTTATGTCATTTCAGTCTTAATGCTAATTGTGCTTTATCACCAAGCAGCTGGAAAAAAGTTTTTAATTTAATTAGTAGCTCTCTGGAGCTTATACAAGTCAACTTCAGCACACTACAGAATACAAGGAATGAGAACTCTGGCTTCTTGTGTGAGCATTGATGCTGTTAACAGCCCACTTGCCCTACTTTAACATTAATAGCATGTCATGAAGAAAGCTTGCCTTCTTCATCCAAGAAATTCCATTAGTGAGTTGCCTCTACCAGGAACTCTTTTTTGTTGCTTGATTGAGCTATTTCAAACAGATGGTTTATTCAACTTTATTTTAGGAATTCTATTTTCACTAGAATGCAGCTGGAAGCACATATTTGGAAACTAACACATTTGGCTCCTAATTCTTTATTCTAATAGAATTATTCTCTCACTGTGAAGTTGCATAATATGGTCTCTGACCCTCCATTTGGGAAGGGTAGAGCTCAAATTCAGGGCCTGGGCACTGTTTAGCTTGTTTGCTCAAAGCTGGTGCTCTATCACTTGAGCTATAGGTTCACTTCCAATTTTTTGGTGGTTACCTGGAGATAAGAGTCTCACAAACTTCCCTTCCCAGGACAGCTTTGAACAGTGATCCTCAGATCTCAGGCTCTTGAAAAATTAGGGTTACAAGAGTGAGCCACTGGCACCTGACTAGTGAGGCTTTTTAAAATCTTGCTCGAGTGAAATTCTGCATATCAAATATGATATTACAACTGATCAGATTCTGATAACAGTAAAATCTTGGGTTTACAATACAACCAAATGACAACAAATGGAAAAATACTAAAAGAAAATAATTCAATGCTACATTTCTAAGAAAAGAATCAAAGTGCAAATGTCACCGTTCAAAAATGTTTTTAATTTTCATAATTGAAGTAATCTGAAGAATCCTTGGATTTGAAATTTGAAGGATAAACTAATTTGGACTGAAAGTTTCTCATTCACAAAATTATTATAATTGCTTTGTTTAAATTTTGAAGGAGGAAACTAAAACCCTGTGAGAGATGTTTTTTTTTTCCTCTCTCTCTCTCTCTTTCTCTCACTCTCTCTTGAACACTGGTCCCTTTCTGATCTCTCATTCATCATGAAATAAAACACAGGTTCATGAAGCTGGTTAACATAATAGGGCTAATACTCAGGGCCTTGTTCTTGCTCATCTTATTTGTTTGCTTTGCTTGCTTGCTTGGCAGTAACTATGCTACTTGAACCATATTTAAGCTTCAATGTACCACAAAGAAACAATAAAGTTTTTAATGGAATTATTAATGACACTGATTTGATTATTATATACTTATCGTATTATCAAAGTGATCCTTATAAATATATATATAATTATTTGTCAATTAAAATTTTAATGAAAATAAAATCCATTTTTGTTTTAAAATATATCTTTGGGCTTGCAGTTAAGGGAAAGAAAGAGGTGCAGAAGAAAAGAAAGCCATTTAGCTCAATATCATTTATTGCTCTACTTTAAAATTGTAGATGATGCTTTCTATCATAAACAATGCTAAAAGCATCTCTGTGGTGCTTGAATGGTGCTAATAAATCAATATAAATCCAACACAGTTTATAAACATTATATGTACACTCAAAGTAAAATTATTCACATAGTCATTCATTAAGTAGCTAAGATTACAGGCATTAAGTATGGGGTCCAGCCTGGAACAAAGTTCTGACCATGCCTCTAGGTATAGGTTTGATTGGCTGATAGTAAGTCACAGACCTCAGTGTAGCAGATCAGATATACTATGATCAAGGGTTAGGCCACATTTCCCATCACAGGCTCCTCCTAGAACACTGATTCCCGTGTGTATCATAGAGCCACACAAGAGTCCACCATAGTCCCTGAAGAGGCTATCACGGACATTCCCAAGGTTGTGCCTGTGTGCTATCATCTCCTAACAGAATACCATTGTGGCCCCTGCTCTGTCAGCTTTCTGTTCATTTTGCCATGCCCAGAACTGATGGCATTGCCTTCAAGTTAGAGAAACCTATCTCTCCTCCACAGTCCCGAAACACTTTACCTGTATCTTAACTCCTGCTGTTGCTGCAGCTGCTCACTTTAAGTTGGACAACTTTACTTTAAGCCTCTGATCTCTCAAACACTATTCTATATATATTAGATACAGAAAAGATTGAAAAGAGTCCTATAATATGGATAATTATAAACAAATCATTGGTCATTGAAAGTAAGATATGGAAATTTGTGAATTCTGATATTAAATAAATTACTTAAATAATTACCATGGTGGATGATTCCATTTTCTAATAATGCTTGTCCCAAGTGAACACCTTCTTCGGGCCTATGAATCTCTCCAATTTCCAACAGCCATGACACAAATTCACTGTGACATAAGCCAATGAAAAAGATAATTAATTTTTCCCAGAAATTCTATATGTACTATGTAGTCATGAAGCAACCACAAAAGGAGCCTCAAAATACAAAAAAAAGATTTTTGTAATGCATGCCAGAAGATATTTTTTCACATATGTAAGGCCCAAATCAAAGAAGCTAAAACTCTGTTCTGAAGTCCATATGCACCTGTATATTGACAATCTCCTAAATGACACTTAACTAATAATCAATTCAACTTGTTGAGACCTCTCATAAATCCAAAGTGAAAATGTTAGAGTAGTTTTAATTATGAGACTACTACCTATAACAAGACCAATAATCATGTGATTTTATGAGGAAAATGCTTAGTTCAGAGACCATTTACAAATAAACATACTATTATACATTTTTAAAATGTACATACATTAAACAATCTAACATTAAAAATTTTACGGTAATTAACAAATTTGTTGCAGACTGGCTTTCTTTCTTTCTCTCTTATTTTTGTTTTTGTTTTCCTTGTTGTTTTTGCCTAGAGGCAAGAAGAATCAACACTATGAAGAGTATCAGGAAGTTACTTTTCCATTTATTTCAAAACCAAAAGCAACATAAAAATCTAACGTCAAATAACCAAGTGATACAAAACTCTAAAATTCGATCATCTAGGCTAAGAAATCTACATAAACGCATGAAAAAATGGAAAAGGCCTTCTTCTAACTTTTTAAAATAAGAATTGTCCAAAAGAAAGACCAAGAATATCAGAAAGAATGAAAAGAGAATAAAAAAATTAAAATGTAAGGCTATGAGATAGTGAAGTATGGTGTTATGATGATATTCTTTGTAGTAAGACAACCCAGATCCAAATCTTGTTTTTCCTTCCATTGGCTTCATGACCTCTCTGACACCTGCATGTTTTCATTGGTAATATAATATGGCACAGTACCATCAAAAGATGAAACCAGATGTCTGGAACTCAGCACAGGCATGACATACCAATTAGCTCTCATTAAATGTTCGTGATTGACACGTGGGTTGAGATGGCTGATATGTAACTAAAGCATGATTTTCCCATTTTGTCATCAAACTTCTGAGGATGACAAATTTGAATTAGGAAAATAAGAAGTTTAAATACAGCTATAAATGATAGGACTTGTTTTCCCCAACTTGAACAAGAAGTAAAAAGGAAGCAGACAAGTGGATTTATTGTGGGACTTACTCAAGGAACAGGTAGAATCCAACAACTTATCTAAGGATGATGATGATAATCCACTCAGATTCAATCGCCAATATGAACTAGGATGCAGTTATACAATGCTATTATGGGAAAGCCACAGCTGACATTTTGTAGGTCTATCCTATGCATCAGACAAATCCTTAATGAGCATGATAATTATCTGAGATTGTGTAAGTATAAAGGATTGGCAAAACCCTTCACTTGAAAAAAGTACACATTTGACCTGGGACAAATCTCTAGCTTTGTTACTCCCAAAATACTTGATCACATGAAGAAAGTAAGCTGTCAGTATTGCTAAAGTAAAAATGACCCATAATATCACATGCCTATGACCCCTATATTACATGCCTATAAAATCCTGATGGGAAGACATCACTTAAAGAGACTCTCTTGCCCAGTGGGTATCTCCTTTTGAGAACCTTGGCAGTTAAAACCCATGGAGTTATTACAGGAGACCCTGTCCTGTTGATGCACACACGTTCTATGCCAAGCAGGATGTGTCCTTTTCTTTGTATAAAAGCTATCGCTTGGGGAACTGTGACAGAGCACAGCACTGGGACTTAAGCTGTTGCCTTGGGCAGCTGTGTGACCAGCTGCTCTGGAGAAGAGAGTCAATGCTGCCCTTCAGCCAGGAATTTCATGGCCTCTATGTTTCAAAGTTGGGGATGGCAGGCAGATGTAGTCTATGTTTATATTGTATATCCTCACTGCTAGTTAAAAGGACGTCCTGATGGGTACTGCAGGTACACACTACAATCATCTCTGTGTTTCCAGAAGAAATAGAAATCCCTTCCCCACTCCCCTACAAGTCCCTAATCTAGGCAGAGGTGACATCAGGACTTGAACTGAGACATTCTGATTGAGATCAATACATTGAACTGCTACTTTAACCTATTTGTATGGAATTTCTATTGGCATTCCCTTAATTGTATGAACTGCTAAGGTCCCTTACCCAATTTCTACATCTTAAAAAAGTGTAAATGTATGAAACTCCTATGAATTACAGCATTAGGAATTACGTACAGAAACTATCCAACACAGAGCCTAGCGAAAGAAGAACAAGAGGCGAAACCCTCCCTTCGGGTCTGTACTGACGTAACTAGACAGGGGATACCATTTAACACTGGGAAACCAACTGACACATACAACAAATATCTGCCTTGCTTGCAGATATTTTTACACATGGTTTTGATCAAGTGTGTGGAAAAAAATTAGAAAGCAAAAATTTGAAATTCCAGCAAAACATCATACAGCTCAGAGGATGTAGTCAGTCCCCTGTTATCACCAGTTGTATTTAAATAACTTGTGATCTATGGTATATCTCCTTGCCCTTAATTTTGTGATTATCTGCTGCCAAAAAAGAAAATGGTAAAATCTGTAATAATCCTCCCAAGCAAATCAAGGCATGGAATATACTTAACCTAATTGATAAAGTGAACATCTTTGTATTTATTAATTTCACAATGTCTTTAGTGAAATGGGGGAAAAAATGAATCAAGCACCCTCAGTACAGTACTGGATATGATATATCCTGGGTATTTTTGTGTCTCCCAGAGAAGTGATCTCCTTGGAACCATGTTGTACTGTAGACAATAGTGCCTGGATCCTTCCATGACTAAGTTTCTCAGACTACATCCCTATACTTTCATCTTGAACTCAGCTGTCTAAATTTTGAGTTAATTGGGAGTTTCTAGTGCATGTCTTCAATCCTCTAGGATTCCCTTGTTACTGGGACCACTATTAACTCTGACTTTCAGACTTACCTATATACACTCAGTATCAGGCTCGCCATCCTTTCACTCGCAGAACAATGGCCTTCCTATCCTCCCCTGCTTTGGCCCAACCTCTGTTTTATCCTTAGATCTGGTATATCATAAAATTGGGAGCCCAGGATAAATGACTGAATGCCTAAAGTTATTTTGTTATGACATTGGCTCTCTGTCCATTATCTTTTATCACTATAGCCCAAAACACGTAAATCATAAAGAAGTATTCAGAACTATTTTAGTTGGGTGCTAGTGGCTCATGATTATAATCTTAACTACTTAGGAGGCATAGACACTGAGGATTGTGGTTGAAAGTCAGCCCATGAAAAAAAGTCCACTAGATTCTATCAACACAATAATGATCAAAAAGAAAGGTGAGCTGGGCACTGGTGGTTCATGCATATAATCCTGGCTACTCAGGAGGCTTAGATCAGAGCCAGCTCAGGCAAGACAGTCAGTGAGACTCTGATCTCTGATTAACAACCAAAAAGCCAGAAGTGGGCTGTGGCTCGAGTGGTAGTGTGCTAGCCTTGACTTATATAACTGTAACCCCTCTATTTTCAGCAATTTCAAATAACAGCAATTTTTTTAAGGCAAGGTTAGAGGTGTGATGCCAGGAAAGAAAAGGGAACAAGTTCAAAGTTTGACATTTGAGGAAAAAATACTAAAAGATTTTTTTTGTAAAGAGAAATAAAACAAAGGAAAAGTTAACATGTGAGAGAATATAAATGAAATGTATACCGACAAACTGCAAAGCCTACCTTCCAAGAAAGCATTTAGGGAACGTAGTCAGTTTCCTTTTTCTGTCTTTGATCAGATTCCCTTGTTTGCACATCATTTTATAAAGTTTCTCACCCTGTTCAGAGATCATCACCCAGGTGTCTTGCTCCATTCCTAATTTTAAATCTATCGGAAATTAGAAAAGAAAAGAGTCATCACATAACTCACTGATTTGCTCATAAAATAAGTATTTACTGAAAGCTGGAGGTTGTGTGGACAATGTGGTAAGACGGGCCTGATTTTCAAGTTCATCCTGTAATCAAGAGAGAATCAAGAAAGATCTCTGGGGCAGAAGACTGCACAACGCTGCCCCAAAGGTCCATGAGTTAGCTAGTCAAGTAACAGCAGATGAGACTGGATAACTGGACAGGGTAGCCCTGGGAACAGCCTGGGGGCAAACCATGAAACCGAAGAAGCAAATACAGATGATACCTCATCTGTACCTGAAAATGTTGAGATCTTTCACAGGCAGCCATGTTAAAGCACATATGAATGAAAAGGTATTTCTAGAGAAAGTGTTCACAAGAGTAATATCAAGCAGTGCAGAGGCAGCCCTGGATGTAAGCAAGAAGACAGATGTGCTGGTGGGTTAGGCTGGAGTCCTGATAGTTTCAATTGACATCATTTCTTGGGTACTGTTTTTTATTCAGCAGGTAGGGAAAGGCAGGGTACTACAGAAGAAATGGTTTGATTACTTTGGGAGCTAAGCTCAGAGGCAGTGTGGGAAACACATTGAAAGCAGGATAGTTAACAAGAGGAAGATCATTAGGATGAAACTACAAACATCTAAGCAGGAAGGGGCTACAGGGTGAGGAGGAGAATGAGAGGAATAGACAACAGGTATTATTGGCAGGTCACAGCAACTGGGTAATGTAGGTGTGGAGGAGAAAAGTCAGTATGCCTGACGGTGTTTGATGAGAACAACTGAGTGGAGATGAGGGTACCTATTGAGCAAAGGCTTCCAAGTGGAGAGGAATCAGTACTGAAAGTACTGAGCCAAGTCCAGGGAGTAGGGTGGCATATGAGTATGAAGTAGAAGCAAGGAGGGAAAGGCTAAACATAAAGTTGGGAAACTGGCAGGACAGAAGTAGAAGTTAATATAATGTCACTAGATTAACCAGTGAGAGGTTGTTAGTGCCAAAGATGAAATCCTGGAACTCCTATACTCAATCAGTGGGTGGAACTAAGAAACAATGTTTCAAAAATTACTGAATTGTTTGTCAGGTTTCCAAGCTACAAATTCATATATTCTACAACATAAGACCAATGAAAATTTATCAGTAAGTGTGAATAATCCACAGAATAGAGCCTGAAGAAATACCACAAAGAGTTTTGTAGAATTCCCTTTTATTTTCTTCCACATTTTTTGTCTTGGATAGAACATAGCCATTCTGGTAGAGGTGACAGACTGTCAATCACCTTTTATGTTATTTGATTTGATACTTGAGTCAATCGATAAGCCAAGCTAGATAGCACATGCCTATAATCCCAGTTACGGAGGCAAAGAGAGATAATATAAGGTTCCCAGTCAGCTCAGAGAAAAACATTAGCAAGACTCCATCATAATCAATAAACTAGATTAATTAGATGTAGTGTAACACCAGCTATTTGATAAGCAGAGACAGGAGAATCACAATCTGAAGCCTGGCTAGGCCAAAACATGAGACTTCACCCAACAATAAGTAACACAAAATGGCAAAATGGCTGGGGAGTCACTCAAGTAGTAGAACATCTACCTAGAAAATGAGAGACTATGAGTGCAAACTGTAGTACTACTAAAAGGGAAGAATGGCCAGAAAGAAGGAAAGGAAGGAAGGAAGGAAATAAAGAAGGAAGGAAGGGAGGGAAGGAGGGAAAGAAATGCAAGCATTTCTATTTTTGAGCTAAATTATGAGTCTTTTTGCATATAAAGTCTGTGAGCTAAATACTGCCATACCAAAGACATTTTGAAAACTTTCATAAAATCAAATCTCAACTAAGACTCCTATATGAACAAGTTGCTTATTGGTTACATTGCCTTATAGTCAATAACAATCTAATAATATTTAAAGTTTACCTGAACATCTATTGTTTACATGTAATATATATGTAGATAACAGACATATATGTAGCATATATACATATATAATCTATATAAAACACATACACACAAAGTGCTAATCCTAATTAGGAAGCTAAGCTTATTTGGTCTAAGAAGTATTGAAGTCTGTCTTTTAAAGGTAGACTGATAAAGTATTAAAGAAAGACTTGAAAGGTAGGAAAAATGATGTAAAAAGAAAAGAAAAGAAAAGAAAAGCTGAAAAAATTGTAAGGTAAAATTAAACCAAAGGACATCATGAGCTGTAGTATAATTACATTAAACAACTCAAGATTTTCCTATAACAACTTGAATGTGACTGTTAAAAGTATACACTAGTTTGTAGCTCATCTGACACAGTAAGTAAAGGTGAGCACCAACCATCAAACTATTTTTTCCTAATTTATTTCTATTATCTGTTCTCAAGCCAACTTAAAATTCTAGAAAGAATGAATGGTTCCCAGTGCATACACCCACCTTTTCGTCGCTCTCTTTCTTTCAAAATGGCTTCCAACCATTCGTGCTTTTCTTCAGGTGTCTTTGCCATGCAAACAAACCATTTATTTTTTGCTGTGTTATGTATCTTCCATCCATTAACAACAATGTGCCCACTACTGTGAAAGTCAGCTGAAAAGTCAAAGAGGAAGTCGATGATTAAAATGTGATATATAATATTGCATCAACATAATTAAGTTCATGAAAGCTCTATAGCCACTGAATTCTTCAAAATAATTTAACTGTCAGGTGCCAGTGATTCATGCCTGTAATCCTAGCTAATCAGGAGGCTGAGATCTGAGAATCTTAGTTCAAAGCCAGCGCAAGCAAGAAAGTCTGTGAGACTCTTATCTCCAATTAACAATCAGAAAACCAGAAGTGGTGCTGTGGCTCAAGTGGCAGAGCACTAGCCTTGAACTGAAAAGCTGAGGGACAGCGCCCAGGCCCAGAGTTCAAGACCCACAACCAACAGTTACAACAAAAAAAAGCAAAATAATGTAACCAACTTTATTATGTTAATTTAATTATACATATATTTAAAATGAAGGTAAATTATATATAAGTATATACATATATGTGTATGCATGCATGCATATATGTATGGCTATATGTATACACACACACACACACACACACACACACACACACACACACACACACACACACACAGTGCCCATGGCTCCTGCCAGCAATTTTCCTTAAGAGGCTGGAACGAAAATAAATTACAGGATGGAAGTTCAGAGCCAGACTTGACAGAAAAGTCTCTGAGACTACAACTTCAATTATCCAGCAAACTACAAAACTGAAAATGTGGTAGAGAGCCAGCTGTGAGAGAAAAAAAAATGTCAAGTGAGATAATTAGGCCAAGTTCAAACACATGCACATACACATGCATATGTGTGTGTATATATGTGTATATGTTCATATAAACGTATATTAATGAAATGTTTGTATGTGTCAGATGCAGCTACTGTTTAATAATGAAACCTTTGTAACACACATTAATATATTACAATGCAATTAAACACCACAAAAATATTTACTTGCTCTATCTATGACAATACTGCTCTCAAGTTTCTAAAGCAAAAAGAGGTTTTTCCTTAATACTCAAACACACATGTACTAAATTCATTTTGTCTCTGTAATATTCTCTGCAAATAATACTCCACGTTTTGAGACGATCAATACCCACAGAACAATTCTTCAGTATTAAATATCAAGAACAATAAGAATAGGATAAATCAGCAGAACACACCTCACATGGAACACCGAGGCTATAACAAACGGAAGCACATCAATGAAGAAACATTACCCCTGCCCTGGTTGAAATGTACTCCTTAAAACCACACAGTGTGATACAATCCAAATGAATAACAATTCACAAAATGATGTTCTCTGAGGATAAATTGACATTTAATAGTCTTTTTCAAAATCTTCTCCTAATTGTGTCTAAATTGTTATAATGGGTTAGAGATGTCACCAGAAGATACTCTCCAGCAACTCTTCCCAACAGCAGGAAGAAAATAATTATGCCACTTAGAAAGAACATTAACTGGCACAACCTTCCCTGCCAACCACAGAGGTCAAGATAGAAAGCGGGGGAAACAAAGGCCTGCATCAGCATTGACCCCAAGTGCAATGACACTTTTCTTTTGTGTCCTCTGAAAGCCATTAAGTGGCAACAGCCAGGACAGGAGAGCTAAGCCCGACTGCTAACAGTGGTTTTGCCAAGAACTTCCTGGCACTTTCCTGGCTTGGTGCTGGGCCTCTCAATGATCTGATTTATCTAGTAAGTTTTCAGTGAAAACAGATATTCTTGGCATTCAATTCCCCGAAGTCTGGTTTCATGGTCTTTTGTATTAGTGCCAAACATTACATGTTATCTGCCTTTGGACTGTGAGTCCCCCAAAGACAGGGATGCTGCGCAGTTGTGGGCTTTTTGAGTCTGAATCGGATTGTATTACGATGTTAATCTGCATTTCCTATATGTGCCTTAAGCCTATGAATTGTCAGTTACAACTGCCCATGTAGAGATTCATATAGGCAGAGGATTTTCCCCTTGTAAAGAAATTACAAGCCATCTTGAAGGAATTTTTGTTCTTTTGTTATCATTCTATGTTGAATTCATGTCCATAATCTATACAAATTAGCCCAATCTTATCATTCACGTCATATCAAGCATGAACAAGCATTAGTGGGAAAATAAATATTACTTCAAAATTATCCTCCAGACTCTCCAAGAGCTATGCAAAAACAGAAAGTTTGATAAACTGATGGGAAAAAATTTAAATTCTAGACTATACATTGTCTCAACTCTCTGGCCCAACTTGTCACGTGAAAAGACCAGAGCCTATGGTTAGTTAAGTAAAGCTTGCACAACTGATTTAAAAAAGAAAGCCACAATAACTACATGCAGCTTGTGTAATTAGCAACACTGAGTTTACTAGAAATGAGCACTGCTAATTCATCCCACAGGATACAGGGAAACACAAATTCATGTACCAAACCCAGCAAGACAAGGACATTACACTGGCATGTGCTCTGGGCCAGGCATCGTTAGAACGCCCTTCCTTCATTACTGTCGTTGGACTCTTGTCTTCTTCACACCCTGTTAACTTGTCCTTCAGTTACTTTCTATCAAGTCTCTACTCAAAAATGTCTGGGTGTCTCACCAATGAATTTGGTAAAACATTTATTTTCTAATCTGCACCCAATCTAACTGATGCAACGTTCCACTGCCTACTAATGTGAGCTACCCCGTCCTGCTGCTCTCCTTTTTGCACCAGTAAATACAAATATACTCCTCAGAGCTAGGATCCCATGAAGGAAGCCTACTTGCCTCTCTGCTGTATTCAGAGTGCACCCACTTCTTCTATGAAGCCCTGTCTGATCACTCCAGTCTGTGCATTCAAACTTCCTCTAGTATGTATACAGCTAAATTCCAAAAAGACATGGGAGCATATAATTGACTGTGGTGACTCTATCTGCAATGTACAGAAAATGAGATCATTAGCTGGCTCTTACATGTACTATCACAAATAACAGGTGAAATATTCACTCTTATACTACTTGGGGGGAAAAGAACAGCTTCTCTCACAAAATTGTTTCAAACACCTTTATGTCTTTATTTTTCCTATCTTAGGCAATAAAATATTTGTGGGTAAAGATTTATGAAACATACTTGCAAAGCCCTTTAAGTACCTAGGTTAAAGGCTTGACAGAAATTGCTATACTCAGTAGACACTATGTTGAAAATAAACTATACAATTTGTCAGCAGGATTGGGAGGGAAAATCTGGGAGAGCATGAAGGAAGAGGTGACATTGTCCAAAAAGGAATATATGCATTACCTGACTTATGAAATAGTAATTGCTCTGTATATCACCTTTATAATAACAATCAAAAATAGTAAATAAAAGTTACTTTATTAAATATTGAGGTACACATCCAAATTGCAGGTTAGTCTGAAGTAAAGGAAAAGAAAAATGTCTTTGTTTGAAAAGACATCTTCCTCATGTGTCACAGAATTTTAAGTGAAGAAATAAGTTGTTTTTAAAAAGTTTGCATGAGCCGGGGGCCAGTGGCTCATGCCTGTAATCCTAGCTACTCAGGAGGCTGAGATCTGAGGATCACGGTTCAAAGCCAGCCTGGGCAGGAAAGTCCTTGAGACTCTTATCTCCAATAAACCACTAGAAAACCGGAAGTGGTGCTGTGGCTTAAGCGGTAGAGCGCTCACCTTGAGCTGAAGAGCGCAGGGACAACACCCAAGCCCAGAGTTCAAGCCCAAGACCAACAAAAAAAAAACAAAAATAAAAAGTTTGCATGATAGTTTTCTCATATCTATTTTAAACTCATAAATAAACTGGGTACAGTGGGATGGGCCTGTAATCCAGCACTCCTGATAAGACAGGAAGATCACAATTCTAAGCCAACTTAGTCAGCATAGTACCCTGTATCCAAAAAAAAAAAAAAAAAATCCATGTAAAAGCCGGGTGCTGGTGGCTCACACTATAATCCTAGCTACTCAGGAGGCTGAGATTTGAGGATCGTGGTTCAAAGCCAGCCCGAGCAGGAAAGTCCGTGAGACTCTTATCTCCAATAAAACACTAGAAAACCAGAAGTGGTGCTTTGGCTCAAGTGATAGAGTGCTCTCATTGAGCTGAAGAGGTGAGGGACAGCGCCCAAGTCCAGAGTTTCAAGCCCCACAACCGACCAAAAAAAAAATATATGTAATTAAAAATATATGTACATAAATATGTTTATGTGTATCTATTTGGATACATACATAAACATATATACATATGTATATACAGATAATAGGCATAAATATGTAGTATATGTAATTTACTACCTTGTAAAGTATGTATACCATGTACACATGTTCTTCAAAGTTCAGAACTGCCTCTTATTTATTTCAAAACATATATTAAAAACTGAGTGTCAGTGCATTATGCCTGTAGTCCTAACTACTCAGGAGGAGAGACCTCAGGAACAGTATTCAAAGCTAGCCTGGGCAGAAAAGTCCAAGAGATTCTATCTCTAATTAACCAGCAAAAACACTGGACTTAACACACACACACACACACACACACACACACACACACACACACACACAAAAGCATGTGCAACCATAAACTATCTTTTCAATAGAAAGCACAGAATGCTTCCACACTCATTCTACATGGCCAATATCACTCTGATTCTAAAACAACATTTTTCAATAGAATACTCAAAATCAGATTCAACAAGGCAGTAAAAAATCATGACTGTGGCCAAATTGGTTTCAGTTCAGGTCTGTAAGGAAGGCTAAGCATATGCAAATCAATAAATATAACATAGTACAGAACCATACTCCAGGATTTAAAAAATCACATAATCATCTCAATAGATACAGAAAAACCTTTGCAAAATGTTCAGCATCCCTTCATACTCAAAGCCCTAAAGAAAGTTGGCGTAGAAGGAGCATAAGGGCTATCTTGGAAGAACCCACAACAAACTAAATGGGAAAACTTCGAAAGCATTTCCTCTATAATCACAATGAGACAAGAATGTCTGCTTTTCACCACTCTTATTCACTATTTAAAATTTTTAGCCAGAGTAATAAGGCAAGAAACAAAAAGAAATTCAAGTATGAAAGGACATCAAATTATCTCTATGTAACAAAGGATGTGAGTCAGAAAATCCTAAAGTGAATTTAGATAAGTTTAGCAAAATAGCAGAATACATACATCAACGAACATACATCAGTTTCTGTCCTTTTCATCAATAACTAAGTCTGAGAATGAAATTAATCTTACTGACAAGAGCCTCAAAAAAAAAAAAAACAAAAAACAAAAACCATAGGATCAATCTAACTGGCCAGGCATGTCAATAATCCTAACTTTAACTATACGGAAGGAAGGAATAGGAGTGAGGATCTTGGTCTAAGGCTGGCCCAGGCAAATGTATGTGTTCTTATTAGAGAACAAAACAAGGCAAAAAAGGGCTGGAGATGTGGCTTTATCACTTGATGCCCTGAGTTCAAACCAGTATGCGTCATTTTAAAAATTAATTAAAAAAAATCTAATCATGAATGTTAAAGACCTCTGCAATGGCAATAAAAACAGGGAAGAAACAAACTAAAAATACTTGAAGCAAAGTCTTCTCATGTTTTATAAACAGGGAGAATGAATGCTATTAAAATGGCCATGCTACTAAAAGTGACCTATAAAGTCAATACAATCCCTATCAAAACATCATCACATTTTCAAAAAAAAAATAGAAAAAAGAAAAAAAAAATCATCAAGTGCTTGTGGCATATGCCTGTAATACTAGCTACTCAGCAGGCTGAGATCTGAGGATCATGGTTTGAAGTCAGCCAGGGAAAGAAAGTCTGTGAGACTCTCATCTCCCATTAACCATTAATGAAAAGCCAAAGTAACAAAAACAGCATGAAGGCTAACATAAAAAACCATACACTAATGGAATAGAATAGAAGACTACAAATAAACCTACTAATCTATTTCCAAGTAAGTCTCTACAAAGGTGTCAAAAACATATTTTGGAAAGAAGAAAGACTTTTCAATAACTGGAGCTGGGAAAACTAGATATTCACACATAGAAGACAGAAACTAAACCTCTATCATCTTGTTTTATAAAAATCAACTAACAAATGAAATGAAGATCTAATATAACACCTGAAACTAGAAGGAAACATGGACAATCTACTTCAAAGCATTGGTGCAAGCCATCATTACTAGAATAGGATTTTAGTAGCCTGGATACAAAAGCAAGCACTGATATATGGGACTACATTAAATTAAAAAGCTTCTGCTCAGCAAAGAAAAAGAGACAGGAAAGCAAAGCAAAGAGACAGCCAACAGAATGGGAGAAAACCTTTGCCAACTGTTCCTAGACAGTGGACTCATAGAGAATATATTTTTTTAAAAAAACTCAAAAAGTTAACAGAAGAAAAAATAATCACAAATGTCAGTACAGGAGTGTTATCCTCACAAATGAGATGTAGAGTCCTGAAAATCATGAGCTCCAGGCCAGTATGGGGATATAGTAATATGTCTCAAGGAAGAGAAGTGAAAAAAGGGAAGAAAAGAAAAGAAGAGAGGAAAGGAGAGAAAAAGGAAGGAGGGGGAGAGGAGATAATGAGACAGAACAGTAGGAGAGGGAGAGGGGGAGAGGGAAGGGAGGGGAGGGGAGGGGAGGGGAGGGGAGGGAAGGGGAGGGGAGGGAAGGGAAGGGAAGGGAAGGGAAGGGAAGGGAAGGGAAAAGTTTGATTCAGTCAATAAATGACACCACAAATGAGCACAAAAAATGGACAGACAAATGAACTTCTCAAATGAAGAATTGATGTTGGTATAATTTGTGGAGGGGAAGGGAAAAAGCAAATCATTTAAATAGGGATACAGGTGGACCCATTGCAACAATGAGATGTACAAATTGTTATGTCGAAAAACGAACTTTACAACTTTGGGAGGGGTGGAAGGAGTGTGGAAGGGAAGGGATGGGAAAGGGAAATAAAGGAGGAGGCAATAAGCTTGATAAGAAATGTACTCATTATCTTGCCTACGTAATTGTAACCCCCCTGCATGGTATTTTCACAATAAAAAAAGAATTATAAATGCTCATATATAAGAAAAAGTACTGTACAACTTTAGCCATCAGGGAAATACAGATCAATAAAGATGATGATGACTTTAAAGTAGTGAAGGGAAAAGTAAGTTAACCAAGAAAGAACAGGTAGACTACATATATATATGGAATTGCATGGATTTAGGTGGAGATGATACCTGCATACATGGAGATGTCAAATGAAATACACTTAATAATATACAATTAATATATATTAATTACAATAATAAAAATTGCCAACATCCAAAAAAGGGATAACATACTGACAGATGGAGATTTGATTACATGTACCCCTGAGAGATGATAACTGTTCTTCCCTCTGGGACCCCAGAAGGACAATGAATATAAGTGAAAAGAATGAAGGAGAGCTGCACGTCAATCAATTACTGTACTGAAGGTTACAGAGCCATTTCTCTATGTGGAAATAAATATCACTTTCCAAGACTTGATATACTTATTTCATCTCATTATTTTTCCTAGTATACATATTAAATTATGATTAAAATCATTTGGAGAAAAATGGGATTTATATTGCCAAGCATTTAATTTATAGTTTTTTTCAAAAAAAAGAAAAATTTATTTTGAATTCATTTTACTCAATACCTGTGTTTAATCATTTCAAGAGCTTGTTTGTAAAACATTCATAACAGAATGCAATAACTTATGTGTAAAAAGCACTTAAAATGTGCACTTAAATGAGTACTTAAAATTATATAACACATCACCATGAATAATTCCTCATTATAAGGAAACTGACAACCTATCCATAATAGTAACAACTGTACAACTTCAAAAAAATCTAGCTTGTGGGCTGGGAAGGTGGCTCAGTGGTAGAGCGCTTGCCTTGCACGCATGAGGCCCTGGGTTCGATTCCTCAGCACCACATAAGCAAAAAGAAAAAAGCCAGAAGTGGCGCTGTGGCTCAAGTGGTAGAGCACTAGCCTTGAGCGGAAGAGCTGAGGGGCAGCACCCAGGCCCAGAGTTCAGGCCCCACAACCGGACCCAAAAAAAAAAAAATCTAGCTTGTTATACTCTGTGTTGAATACAGTATACAATCAAAAATATAATACCTATAGCTATAAAACATAGTATAATAAACAATCCTAGCTGGTTAGAAGGCCAAGATCTGCAGATCACAGTTCAAAGTCAGCCCAGACAGAAAGTCTATGAGATTCATCTCCAATTAACCAGGAAAAAAAAATCCAGAAATAGAGCTATGGCTCAAGTGGTAGAATGCTAGGTTTGAGCACAAAAGCTAAGAGACAATTCCCAGAGCCTGAATTCAGCCCCTAGTATAAATAAATTAATTAATTAATAACACTATAGTGTATAACTGAAAGAGAATCAATTCACTTATCCTTAGCTATTTACTCACACTGACTTTATATACCAGGAATTGTGAATGTCCTGTGTGGTTAAAGCTAAATGGACACTGTCAGGTAAAAACATTACTTAGCTATTTCTCACTACCTTTTGTTTAAATACTAATGCGTTTCTGCCAAATATACATTTCTACATTCACAGAGAAGAAATTCCTTTATGTTACCTTTGCCCTTCCTCTACTTAGAAAATACTCCTAGGCTCTAATTCTATCCAAGTGATAATTCTCTTTAGGGAGGGAGGGGATAGTTCTAGGGTTTGAACTCAAGGCCTCCTACTTGCTTGGCTAGGAAAACACTGTGGAGTTGGGCCTCCAGCTCCTTGGCAACTGGTTATTTTTAAGATAAAGTTTTGCTTGTAGCCAGGGCATGTCCCTGAGGCACAATCTTCCTACTTTCAGGCTTCCGGTCTTACAGGCTTCACCTAGCTGCCCTCTGTGGAAATCTCAGCCTCCCACCAAACTACAATGAAAAGCTGCAATCAATAGTGCTCCCAACCATGGGTTAAAGAAGGGGACTCAGGCTTTTTCTACAAAAGCTGGCCTGGATCCTGGATCCTATTTCCAGGCTCCCAAGAAGCTAAGCTGATAATGCCCAGCTCTGGCAATCTAAACCCAGGAATCACTTACCTGTGCCATCATCCACATTCTCCACTTCCATCACTTCAGTATTGATTCGGCCACGAAAAAGGTACCTATGTCCATCTGTGGATGTTTTACTGTTCTTCAACCGTCTTAAAATGAATGGAACCACAAAGACTTTGTTAGTAAGGTTAATATAAAATAATGCAAAATATACTTTAAGACATTATTTTAAAACATAATAGCATGAATTCAATCAACATTATCAAAAGATTTTGGAGCTTGATGATTTTCCTTGAGTCATCTCATTCATAACAGTACCAGTTAATGTGCAGGATATAACTGCAACACTAGGATTTTTTTTAACTTAAGCACTGTCTTAAATATATACAACAAGGGGCTGGGCAGGTAGTTCAGTGGTAGAGTGCTTGTCTAGCATGCATGAAGCCCTGAGTTCGATTCCTCAGCACCACATAAGCAGAAAAAGCTGGAAGCGGTGCTGTGGTTCAAGTGGTAGAGCATTAGCCTTGATCTGAAGAGCTGAGGGGCAGTGCCCAGGCCCATAGTTCAGGCCCCACAACAACAGATAAATGGATGGAGAAGCTATGGTACATATATACTATTGAATATTATACAACCATAAAAGATAATGAAATCATGCCATTGTCAGGAAAATGGATGGAATTGGAGAACATTATCCTGAACAAGATAAGCCAAGATTAACAAAAGAAGCTCCCCCAAACCTACATATTATATGTTTTCACTTATGTGTGGAAGCTAAAAACCACACATATTCATGGAGATGTGCTTAGGTATTACACCTGTAGAAATATGTGTGTGTGGAGGGGGTGATTCTAATGATGGAACTGTTTAGGGGGAGAAGAAAAGAGAGAAAGGGAAAGGATAAAGAGCTTCTAAAAAAAACGCAACTGTGTCTAATAAATGCTGGGAAGGATTCTAATGTTCTAATGCCTTTGAACAACAAACTTACAGTTTAAAATAATGAACTCCAGGAAGCTGGAAAATATGTGTTGTGGGGAGGTTCGGTCAAAGAGGGGTGGATAGATAAATAAAGAGAAAGCGTTGGTGAATATGGACATAAGATTCTGTGTACATGTATGAAAATGGAAACGTAAATTGAGGGGATGGTTAGGGTTGGGAGAGATGGGGAGAAAGTTGAAAGGGATGACATTGATCAAAATGCATTGTACTCACAAACTGACATCTTGAAACAAAACCCTTTTGTACACCTACTTAAAGGTAATTCTTAAAACATAAAAGAGTAATAGGACAATGACACCTGTCCAAATTGTTTTAAAAGGGGTCCGTGGGGTAAAATAGAGTGATAGAGGAGTTGGGTTTGATGAGAGACATTATATACAAGTGTAAAGATGTCTCAATGACCCCTGCCTTGTAAACATAAACTAATTTTTAAAATCCATTATGTTCAGGTGAGAAAATAGTTATAGAGTTTTCTTCAACATACCAATATTGTCAAACTAGCAGACCCTAAAGCCTGGTTATGTCAATGATGAGCTGGGTTTCTGTTACCTTCCTTTCTCATTTTTCAGTAGCTGGTAATGTCTTATTTTTTTCAAGCTCTGACAAACAAACTCAATTAGTTCTTCAAAGCCTTCTTCAAAGAAAGAGACTGTACTAGAGGTTCTTAAGCTGAGAAATACCCAGCTGTCAAAATCTTTTTCTATACTGTTTTTACAATATAATTACCGTATGCTTGTTGAACAAGCCTCTTAACACATGTATAAATCCTTTTGAAAGTTCTTCTTTATTTTTAAAGAAATGCTGAATATTTTAAACCTTTACATATACTATGTCCACCATAAATTCAGCTGGTGTTGCAATCTCAATCTGCCAGAAAATGTTTAGACACAGTTTCCTGACTTCTGAACATAGCATACACAATCACTCAAAACCCACTAGTCATGTGCCCTCAGTTGCATGAAGTCTATTGGTAGCAATGCATGAAAACCATTATATTCCAGGTGTAGATCATGTCTTAAGAATACTCAAGTAAGCCAAGCATCTATCTCTCAAGACTATAATCATATCTACTCAGGAAGCTGAGATCTGAGAACTGTGATTTGAAGCCAGCCTGGACAGGAAAGTCTACAAGATGCTTATTTCCAATTAGGCACTAAAAAGCCAGAACTGGAGTTGTGGCTTAAATGAAGAGTGTGATGCTTAAGCACAAAAGTTCAGGAACAGCACCCAGCCACTGAGCTCAAGCACAAGGACACACACGGACATACACGGACACACACGGACACATATGGACACACACACACACACACCGATATTCAACTAAGTTAAATGCCACTATGGAAACAAGCAAAACCTTAAGACCATCCTTTTCCTTTTACAGGAGATACTCAGAGTACAGCTATAAAATCAAAAAATAACTTCAATGGGATACCAGGAAAAGAGAGCTGGGAGGATGAGAGTGGTATTTGGGTTGGCATGCTTCAAATACACATTCTAATGGAGTTAACAAACTATAGGTACAACCATAGGACAGGTGGCTCAGGTGTAATCAGGGTAAGGATCATTGCAGGTAAAGAGACTATGGGCTTTTAGGCCCCAATTCTAGCTAGATCATTTATGTGAATTTTCAACAGTTCTAAAACAGCAACTAGAGTAGGACGCAAATGAAGTGGTCAAAGAACTTAACCAATCCCTGAACCCGTGTAGAGCAGGGAGATGCTTTGCTCTGTACAAATGGAGTTCCCAGGGAAGTCAGAGAACAGGAAAGGCTAATGTCTGAACTTCCATGTTACAGGATTCTCAAAGGAAAAGAAGGAAATGGTTTATAAGGAGAATCAGGAAACAGGGCAAACAGACATGACAGCATCTCCTACTAAAGCATTGGGGTTAGGAACAAACGCCTCTTCTCAGGAAGGCTGTGAAGAGGTAGTATCTTGAGATGGTAGTGACATTCAATCAGGGCCAGCAAGCTGGTGGCAGGCCCGCATGGGCTGGTAAGGTGCTAAGCTCTGGGGGGCTCAGAGGCAAATGGGGAACCCCATGAGACAAATGAAAGGCATTTCTGAAGTATGGCCTGCTGATGATCTTACCTGTGCTTTCTTTTGCAGTACACCAAAAGGTTATCGAAAAGAAAAAACACTCGTTCTTGAATATTTCCAGAAGAGATTTTTAGTAAGACTCCACACATCAGCATTTCAGTGCAGGTGTCAGTAATGTTGGAGCCCTAAGTCAGGAAAAGAGAAAAAGGTAATGCCTGATTATTTGATTCAATTTGTGATCAAACCCAGAGCTTCAGGAATGCTAGTCAGGAATGTTCTAACATTAAGTCATACTGGCAGCCCTGAGTAAAATTTTTCTATGTAATTATACGTCTACTTAGAAGTAGGATTGTTTTAAAAATTATTACATTTTTTATTTTAAGAATATACTTTTTTAAAATATCTAAATAGGGGGCTGGGAAGGTGGCTCAGTGGTAGAGCGCTTGCCTTGCATGCCTGAGGCCCTGGATTCGATTCCTCAGCACCACATAAGCAAAAAGAAAAAAAGCCGGAAGTGGTGCTGTGGCTCAAGTGGTAGAGCGCTAGCCTTGAGCTGAAGAGCTGAGGGACAGCGCCCAGGCCCAGAGTTCAAGCCCCACGACCGGACCCAAAAACAAAATAAAAAATAAAATAAAAAAATCTATATAGGAAGTGACTGTGGCTCACATGGCAGAGCATCAGCCTTGACCATAAAGCTAAGAAACAAAGCCCAGTCCCTGAGTGAATACCCATGACTGGCACAAAATGTGGTTAAAAATTAAAAAGCAATATATGTATAGATTAAGTTCAAAGAGTACAAGTATGAATGTAGATCTAAATATAACTTGAATGAAGTCTCCTTTGTTTTCTAGGCTCCTGGTCAGGATCGATAGATACTCTGTGTCTACGTTTTGAGTATTTATGAACACATGCATATGTAAGAATACAATATCGTTACCTATTTTATTTTGAAACCAGATCATTTTAAGCTAATTCATTACATTAATATCCATATTTTCCTTTGTTCTTTCTTTGGCCCAGTATGGGGAAAAGAGTATTTTGAACTTATCTAAAATGTTAGTATGGATCAATTTAGAAAGAAGCTTGGAAAGAGTCTTCTATCAATTACAGAAAGACACAGATGTACCTACCTATTGTTGAAATAAACCCTTACTGAGTGCCCCCTAAGATCACACAATTAATGACAGAAAAAAGGGAAGAGGCACAAATGGGAAGGGGCCTGGGTCCACAATCAAAAAGGAATGAAATCCCTCCACTGAACATCACTGTATGCAGTTCAGGATACATGCACTAGACTCTTGCATGTGCAATGCATGTCCGTTTTTGGTTGTTATAATCTGTTTCCACGACCTAACTTATCATAACTAATACATTAAAAAGAAACTTTTTTGTTGAGATCTGTAACTGTTCCTTGCAAGAAAATTTCAGTTTCAAATGTCTGACTTCTTTTAATCTGGAGGTAAATTTCTGATTCGTGTTTAGATCAATGATTGTGATATCATGTGTTTGGCATTAAAATAAAGAACAATAATTTAAAATTTTATATTTCTGTAATAGTCACTAATATAGTTATGTGGTCATTATAAAAATTTAAATTAAAATGACTAGAAATTTCTACAAGTAGCTTCTTAGCTACTTCAACAAATGTTTAAAGGGAAAATTCATTAAAAGAATGTTATTATGTTAACATAATTTGTATTATAACATGTGTTTGTATTACAAACACATTTCCAGTTTCAGACACTTCCATTTTCATTTTCATTTCGTTTCATTCTGATTCTATATATAGATGAGAAACATTTATACAATTTGTATATTCAGTATTCAGTCTTGTGTTCATTAAATAAAGATGATGATGAAATATGAAGTCTTAATTCTAGTGGTAATGATTTCTTACTATTTACTCATGATTAATAACATTCCTATCATAGTAAAAGGTCAGAATACAATGAAAACATAAAAATGGAACTAACAATGACAGGAGCCTTATCTTAAAACTGAATCTGTATTTACCAAAGCTCCTAGGCAGATTTCCTTTACCCTGTCCAAGAACAGTTTGCCTTGTGAACCCTTTCTCTGAAATATATCTACTGTATATTTCATCACCACTGAATATTTCTTTAAATCTTCATGCTCCTTTTCCTGGTTAATATTTGGTCTGTTTCAGAAATCAGTGCTAATTTTTAATTCTAAATATTTAGTCTTTAGTATATTTTTGCCATTATAGAGCATGTACAATGAAACTTTAGTAAGATGAATATAAAAGTAGGTTTTAAACATTTCTAAAATATGTCAGACAATGTGCTAAAACCTTTCTCCGGGTATAAATATCTACCAAGTTGACCTCATTATAACATGAGACTATGTTTTGTTAATTAACTACCATAAGAATTAGACTCCATTATTAGTAATTTCTGCTTAACCCAAGGGTTTAGCTTGGTTATATTGCCAACCTGATATTGCAAATCCATCAGAAAAACTCAAATTGCAAAGAGAAACTCCCATCTTGGAAAGATGAAAGATAACACAAAGTTCAGAAAATTCCCCACTCCTGTGTAATACATTGACAGACAAAGATCTAACAGACTAGACCCATTCACAGTAGAAAAGAAGAAAACTGACAAGAATGATGACAGATGGGTATTTCAAAAGAGAATCATTTCAATATCACAGGCGTCTCCTGAGGAATTCGATGAAGCAGTTATTTTAAAGCCTTTTGAAATACTAGGAGAGCAAACATGAAATGATTAATATCATAGTTTCACCATGCAATCTTGTCATATAATATCTATCATATCACCAAAACTTAGCATTTGATTCACTCTTTGAGATTCAAATTGTTAGGTAAAATTATAACCTTAATTCTGTTGCATATGAGATAAAAGAAACTACTAGTGTTAATATTCATTTTACCAAGACAAATTTCCAAACTGTCTCCCGCTCCTGCTTAATGAAACTTGTTTATCTATTCAAGTGAATTCATTTTCTTTTTTTCCTTTTCTTTTCTTTTTCTCGGTTGTGGAGCTTGAACTCTGGGCTTGGGTGCTGTCCCTCAGCTCTTCAGCTCAAGGGTAGCGCTCTACCACTTGAGCCATAGCACCATTTCCAGTTTTCTGGTGGTTAATTGGAGTTAAGAGTCTCATGGACTTTCCTGCCATGGCTGGCTTTGAACCATGATCCTCAGATCTCAGCCTCCTGGGTAGCTAGGATTACAGTTATGAGTCACCAGCACCTAGTTGGATTCATTTTCAATGGTCTTAGAACCTCATACCCCCAAATAACAGCAACTATCTACAAGTCAATCCCACCCCAAAGCAGGAAATGATTTTTTTTAATCTACCAAGTCACTTACTACAGGAAACAAGAAAGAACAGTCTCATCGCCAATTTCTAGAAGATTTTAACTCAAGAAATAAGAGAGCATACACTGAAGTCAACACACCATCAGGCACAAATCTAATCCAATGGAAGCAAAAAATAAAAGCTTGCAACCCCAACAAGAAATAGCTTCAAAATATCCATGGAGTACCGTATTTCTCCACATTGCAAAGGCAATAGAGAGGAGGCCAAGTCTTTTTGAACTTTCCAGAACACAACAATTCTTTTTTATCTTTCTCAGTTTCATTTTTTATTATCTTTAAGTAGTCGTGCAAAGGAGTTGACATTTAATATAGCAGTTTATAAATACATCTTGATCAGTCACTCCTTTCATTATCAGGAATCTACTTTCTCCAACATCTTTAAAACAAATAATTCCTCCTCATATCTTTTATTACAGCATTTTTTCGAGATTTAAAAGGCTGATCCCAAACAGACATATTAAGGACTCCAAGGTAAATTACTAGCTGAGCATCAGTGGTCCATGCCCATAATTGTAGCCACTCAGAAGGCTGAGATCAGAGGATTGCAGTTCAAAGCCAGCTTGGGCAGGAAAGTCTGAGACTTTTATCTCCCATTAACCAGCAAATAGCTAGACATAGAGGTGTGGCTCAAGAATTACAGCACCATCCTTGAACAAAACACCAAGGCCCTGGGTTCAAGTTCCAGGACTAGAGAAAGAAGAAGAGAGAAAAAGAGAGAGGAGGGGAGGGAGGAGACAGGGGAGGGAAGAGGAAGAAGGAGAAGGGGAAGGGGAAGGAGTAGGGAAAGGGGAAGGGGAAGGGAGGTAGGGAGGAAGGGAGGAAAGAGGAAGGGAAGAAGGAAGGAAGGAAGGAAGGAAGGAAGCAAGAATGGAAGGAAGCAAGGAAGGAAGCAAGGAAGGAAAAAGCTGAATTATTGAACAGTGTAATATTTACTTGATATTCCCTTATCAAAAACTGCAAAGTTGTAAAATACTATTTCCCATCTGCAGAGACTTTCATTACATTCAAAGCATTTTTCACTTGATTTGACCCTTGCAATTATGCAAACTATGTATAAAAGATATCTGACAGCCAGGCTTTGGTGGCTCGCTCCTGTAATCCTAGCTACTTAGGAGGATAGGATCAGGGACCATGGTTCAAAGCCAGCCTGGGCAGAAAAGTCTATGAGACCCTTATCTCCAATAAACTATTCAGAAAAAGCCAGACATGGTGCTGTGACTGGAGTAGTAGAGTGCTAGCCTGGATCAAAAGAATCTCTGGGATAGCGTCCAGGCCCTGAGTTCAAGCTCCAGGACTGGCAAAAAAAAAAAAAGATGTCTGATGGGTCTGCCTCCAAGAAATGAGTTGGAGTCTGCCATTTTTTAAACAATGTCATAAGATTTGGAAAGAATAAATTTCAATTGTTTGTGTACCTACATTCTACATACAGGATTTAGTTGCACCAAATTAAGCTGTGAGAGTTAGTGAGAATTCATTATGAAAAACATAAGTTCATTTCATTGAGACATGAATTGACTTATATGACACAATTTTAACTGAGTTGGAAACAGTGCACACTCATTGTGTGTCAGACTTCAATTGCCATTCAAAGGACTTTTAGTTTCTGACACATATCCTGAAATATCCTAAAAGGTTTGCAGGAGCTTATGGAATGAACTTGATAGGAAGCTATTTTTCCTACCATTTACCCAACACTCATAGCCACAAACCCTGCTCAAGAAGCGCTGGATTCCATAACTACATGCCATCTATATCTAAACTGAGCCCAGTACTGATTCCATAAGAACCACTGTCTCCCAAAATGAGTACTAAGTCCTGTGAGCAATTCATAAATACCTCTTCAATGCATTCTTACCAGATGAGCAGTTTCTCCTAAACCTCATGGATGACACCCATAGCTTTCCCCTCTCTCCACATCGGTGGAATGCAAACAGGAACCAGGTGTCTGATAAATGAGCCCTGCTCCAAGCCACAGCACAGGAAGTCCTAAAACTCCCAGCACTCTGAATGGCTCATCTCACACTCTCACTATCAAAGTCTACTCAAGGGGAATTAGTGCTGTCACTCTCCTGGCAACTAACCATTCATATTCACACAGCTCCTGTCCTTGAGGGAGCTATAGTTATTTTTGATTTCCTGACTATTTTACAGAATAGCCAAACTCTACTACGTTTCTTCAGCTTTGTTGCTCCATTTCCCTTATACTCAGTACTCTAACAGAAACATTGGTGTGTTATTACATTGGCTCACATTTTCAGAGATTTCAGTCCACAGTTACTGGGCCATATTGCTTTGGACCTGTGGCAGCATAGAATACCATGGTAAGAGCATGAACTTAGTAGAGGAGGCCACTGGCCAGGAAGTAAGAGAAACAGGGAAAAGCAATAGTTCCAATATCCCTTTCAAGGACCCACCCCGATAACCAAACATTGTTCCACTAGGCTTCAGCTCCAAAAGGTTCCATCATTTGCCAACAAGTGTTAACATGTAGCCCTTCGAGTATTTCAGAAGCTAAGAACTATGGTAGCTCACAACAGAGGTACCGTCTGTTGTGATAGGCACATCCATTTTCCTTTGAGTAACCAGTGCATACTGTGCAAACAATAGCAACAGTGTTAAGGAATCTCCAGTTTCTGCAGTAAATTTAGTCTTTAGAACCCACACCAGAAGGAAACACAAAATCAGATTCCATTTCCCTAAAAGTTCTGAAAAGAGTTTTCCTTTTTAAGTTCTTGTTTTAGTAAAAGGCCTGGCAAAGTTCACTGACAAATCCTGCAACTTAAAGAGTTTGGGTTTTCTCCCAACCTTTGAGTGACAACAGAACTGCAAAAGCAAACTTCACTCCATTTTTCTCATCCCAGCAGGACAACTGCTCCCCAGGAAAGGAATTATCATCATGAATCAGCTGTAAAACACACAGCCATTCTAACTGATTGAAAGAGATAGCATTCATGGCGAAATGAGAGGTCACCCTGGACACTTGAAGTTGATGAATGCAGATGAAGAGGAAGCTAAATCAGAACCCAGGGTGCATTTGAACAGATCAGAGAGGACTGTGGACAAATAGAATTCCCTCAGGTCAGTGTTTGAGAAATCTGTGAATATCTGTCCAGATATGATTTTAGTTCTAAATGAAAACCAATATATTGAAGATAAGAAAACAAATTAGTCAACTAGAAATCCCTAAAGATTTGTATCCACTTGAATTTATATGATATAGTATTTGGCTGAGAACTAGTCAATCTTGCTTGCTTTTTAATTCTTTATTAGCCTAACTTTGGTTTATAACATGAGAAAATTTGTACAAGTGGAAAGTTCACATTCACTTAAATTAAGGTAATTTAAATACAGAATTTTAGGGGACTTGGGGGAGGTTATTTATTAGTTTGTAGCAGTAAAAGTAATATAAAATTCCAACGAGATGAAATAACTTGGGCTTAAACTAACCACAGCTGAAAACATCTTCCAAATTCTAAACTACATTCTTCATATATATATATATATATATGTATATGTATACACACAAAAAGAGAGAGAGAGAGAGAGAGAGAGATCTTTCCTTGCCAGGTGTTGTGGAGAATTCCTATTATCTCACTATTCTGGAAGCTATAGCAAGTTCCAGGCAGGCCTAGAGTATAGAGTGAAATCACATCCTAAGGGGGGAAAGGAGCTTGCTTTAATATTCAATGAGACCATTACATTTTTTTTCTATCTTGAATTGAATTTAACAACCAAATCACATAGTTTCCTCCTTGTAGAAATAAATCAAACAGACAGATTAGGTATACTTAAAGTGGAATTCAACATCAACTCTCTAAAGTCTGAAAATAATGCCTCAGCACACATAATAAAATTTACATGCATTTTTTATTCTCTCAAGGATTCTGACTAGGTACTTCTGGACCAAACTTAAGACAGGAAAAAGAATTATTTATGATGCACAAATTCTGAAATACCAAGACTTAGCACTCAATATCTATCAGCTCCATTACAAGTTTCTCCACTCAAAAAAAGATATTAAAATAGCTGGGCACTGGTGACTCACACCTGTAATCCTAATATTCAAGAGGCTAAGACCTGAGAATCACAATTTGAAGATAGCCATGGCAGAAAGGTCGATGAGATTCTTATCTCCAATTAGTTAGCAGAAATGCATAAGTATATTTTTGACTACAAGTAGTAGAAATACCAGCACTGAGCAAAAAGCCAAGCACGAGAGGCCCTGAGTTCAAGCCCCAGTACTGTCACACACACACAATCAATAGTAAGATAATGGTGAAAGCACATTTCAGAACTGATTGCAGTCCTTTAGCAATGACTAAGAACATGACTACTTCTCGTTCCATTCAATGTCAATAATCTACTCACATAAAACATGACCTCGAGAACAACTAAAAGTGCGGTACTTGAGCAAAGTGACTGTACCTCCCAGCCTTCAATGTGAGACTGCCATTCCTCTAGAACTTCCAGCTTCTCCATCTGTCTCTTGGCCTCGTTGATATTGGAGCAGACAGCTTTCATGGCTTGGAGAGCTTCATTCACTGCCCCATAATCGCTGTGCTTCCGTGGAGTCCGCTTCAGCAACTCCTGTTCATACATGAAAGAAAAATGTTTTTTCATCTTTCAGTTTTCTGGTACACCAGGTGCAGACTGATCAGGAAGTGAAGACTACCAAGATCAGGACAGCCACTTCCCTGACTGACATCACAAACTCCACTAAGATTAGATCAAAAGCAATAGGTTGAGCAAGTGTTGTCCTGCTGCAATTTGACAGCTACTTTTCATACACAGTTGGTTTTTAACAATGGAGTGAGTTTTCTCTTTTAAAATGACCAAAGATCTTACCTGGGAGCATGTAATTTTTTTTTATATAAGTTAGACTTTTGTTTTCACAGAAGCACAGCTGTATGTGTAAATTTTGTTTTCCTTGAGTCTTTCACGGAATTAATTCTCAAATAAATCCATCCTATAATTTCAAAACTAAGTTAAATTCTTTGTGGTAACATCTCTGGAGACACTATGAAAATAGTTCCCAAGTAAAAGCAAACTTTGTATATGGATTCTATTCCAACAAAATAAATAATTTGTGAATGCTTCAAATCTCCTTAACTAACAGGGCAATTTGTGATGTTTTCACCAATTACCCGGGTTCATTTTCTCTTTATGAACCCATATTCATATACCTAATAGCTTCCTTTATTGCTTTTGATGTTTGAGATTTAGGGGAGGCCATTTATTTGTATTTTTCCATTTAGGATATCAAAATTAGAGAAATCTCTCATCTTTTCATCATTTTATAAGGTCTTGTTCGCTGTAATTTAGAGGACATCACATTAAACATCATCATCCACTGTCTAGACAGTTGTGACCACATCATTTTTTAATTAGTCACATGTCTCTGTACAACAGTTGCCATCAGACCATTGCCTTCATCCTAGCGCTAATACCATTACAAAAACCCTGAGGCAAAACTTTGAAAGAATTTTCAAAATTCCTCATGAAATGGGAAAGCAAGAAGTTCCTGCAGGCTACTAATTGTTTTCTTGTTGATCCTGCATTCAGTATGTTCAGACACGATCATGCAAAGCTAACACAGAGGGAGAACATATCACCTCACACATCCCAAAAGGAGCTTGCCAAAACTATCTTGGATCGCAAATCTGTGATCCAAATAAGGTTTCTCAAGACACTCTAAGGGAAAGAACTTCTAACTGTACCCAGTGGATATCTATGGAGTGAGACATGGATTTAGATTAGATGAAATGGCCAAAAACAGTACCAACGTTTGGGAAGTTACTTGCTCTGAACTTTGTGTTGACTGGCCAACTTAATTATTTCTAGTTCACCAAGTAAGATCAAACTATTATTATCTTGTGATTGCAGCCCAATCCCTTCAATATTTTTCTTGAGATAAGTAAAACCACCCAAGATCAAAGAGAATGCCAGCATTTTTTCAGCTGCTGGAACACCAAAGTACCTTCTATGTGAATAAACAGTTTCTCCATGTTTCTTCATAAAGATAATTTCCCATTTTCATGAAGATGATGTTATCTCTCTGCTCCTGAAACGGTCTCTAAACTGATCTTCCATGGCAAGGTTGTATCAGTCATAACAATTTTTGAGAAATCAGTTCAAACACTCAAGGCCATCCCTCAGAAGAAATGTGTGATTTAAAACAATCACTTTGTCACCGGGCAGCAGTGGGCCACACCTGCAATCCTAGCTACTCAGCAGGCTGAGCTCTGATCACAGTTCAAAGCCAGCCCATGCAGGAAAGACCTAAAATTCTTATCTCCAATAAGCCACCAGAAAACCAGAAGTGGCACTGTGGCTCAAGTGGTAGAGTGCTAGCCTTGAGCTGAAGAGCTGAGGGACAGCGCCCAGGCCCAGAGTAGGGCCCAGGCTCCACAACCAACCAAAAAAAAGAAAAATCACTTTGTCAAGATATGTTGTAAAACAAAGCAGAATAATTGTCACTATAAGGATACATGCAAAGTACATCCCTGAGTTGGAGATCTATGGTAATTCTTAGTAAGAGTTGTGTTGGCATGAATACACCTGACACTGTAAACACTGTGTCAAAGGTTCACACAACTGGAGATTGGTATGTTCACTTCCCTGTGAGGCTTTTCATGGCTTAGCCAAGCAACTTTAGACTTGGGCTGTTTTTTAATCAAGAAGTGATCCTTCTTCAACAAATTTTACACAGATAATTCATTCGAATGACAAAAATAGTAGTTATATATGTATATATGTATATGTGTGTGTGTGTGTGTGTGTGTGTGTGTGTGTGTGTGTGTGTGTGTGTGTGTGTGTGTGTGTGTGTGTGTGTATATATATGTGGAGTTCAAATTAATAGCTTTTAAGGGTCAGGTGCTATTGCTCATTTATATAATCCCAGCTACCCAGAAGTGGAGATTAGAAGGTCAGTTCAAAAGCAGTCTAAGCAAAAAGATAGCAAGTCTACATCTTAACAATAAGCTGGACAAAATGACACCTACCAGTCATTTCTTGCATAAGTAAGAGGACGGTACTCCCAAGCTGATTTGAGGTGAACCTTATTTCAAATCAACTAAAATGAAAAGGGCTGGGGGTATGGCTTTCAAAGTAAGCAAGAGGCCCTTAGCTCAAACTCTAGCACCACAAAAACCACTCTAGCAAAACATTATAAATCACCATATTAAAAAACTTACTATATTCATGACATTCCTAGTGTTTTTAAGAGTATGGATGGTAGTCTGGTGCCAGTAGCTCACTCCTCTAATCCTAGCTACTCAGGTGGCTGAGATGTGTAGACTAAAGCTCAAAGCCAAAATGAAGAGATAAATCTGAGAGATTTATCTCCAATAAACTAGCAAAATGCTAGAGGTAGAGATGTGGCTCAAGTGGTAGAGTGCCAGACTTTTGAATAACAAAGAGGAAGCAGGAGCAGGAGGCCTTAAATTCAATTCCTAGTACTGGAATGAACAAAGCAAAGTTTAGATGCTAATAATTAAAATATTAAATCAGAATCAAAGATATGAACAATAACTGCTAGCATTTAGGGAGTCCATATGACACTAAATGATGTATACAAAAGTTAACTTAATTATTACTGAAAACCCTCTAAGTAATTTATACATACAAACATATATCCAATCACATACATATATACATTATTCTAGGTACAGCTAGAATTTTTACAGCATCAACTCTGTTTCATTTCAAAAATATTAAGGGTCTAGATTACACACTCCAGTCAGAGAGCTAGAAAGCAAAACACTGAGGGTTTAAACTTGAGGCTTGGGTGTTTAACTACCATCCCAAATTACCTGTCCTAACATGTATCATTCTAAATATTGTAGTTTCACGTACTGCTACCATTTATATACTATGCACTGGTCACAATAAAAGCATTTGTAATTACAATGAAGCAACAAACCTAGGGTCATTAGTATAGCATTTCTTGTCTTTAAAAGGTTACATGTTCTAGCTGGGCACCGGTGGCTCACACCTGTAATCCTAGCTACTCAGGAGGCTGAGATCTGAGGATCATGGTTCAAAGCCAGCCCGGGCAGAAAAGTCCATGAGACTCTTATCTCCAATAAACCAATTGAAAACCGGAAGTGACACTGTGGCTCAAGCAGTAGAGTGCTTGCCTTGAGCTAAAGAGCACAGGGACAGAGCCCAAGCCCAGAGTTCAAGCCCACAATCGACAAAAAAAAAAAAAGGCTACATGTTCTTAACAATCTCATTCCATTTCTGTCCCTTATTGTTCCATACTGACCCACAGCATTCACTTAAAACAATCATTTAAAATCCAAGCTCAGATATGTTGACTTTAACTTCACTGGCATCACAAAAGTCACCAAAGTTTTTGAAAATCAAAAAATATATATAAACATTGGATTTATTAAAAATAATGAGCCTGATAGCTAAAGTACTACATAAACAATCACAGACTTAATTGGATCTCATTTGAAACTAATGTAGGTCCTCTCCATGAATTTCAAACAAGTGTATCTTTTGCAAAAAGGCACTAAAAGCCATTTTTAGTGGCTTTTCCACTAACAATCTCTTTCCTACTTCATATATAAATTAGTAACAAAATACAGCTTTTTTTCCAATAATTATGCTTTGCCCTTAGAAAATATCTTTTTAGAATACTAGGCTCTTTAAAAAGTAATTCTTTAAAAAGACCAGGAAAATAAGCAGGTACAAAGAATAAAATACCTTCAAAAGGAGAGGATACTTGCATATCCTTTGTATTGGTGTTACTAAATATCCTTCCAGGGGAACATCTGTGTTCTTTCGTCCGCCAAGCAACATGCAGTTCTGGGTTGAAAAGAAGCATCCGTAAGTATGTTTATCAAACCCAAGGCTGTGAAACTTTTTTTTTTTTTTTGATGGGCATGGGACTTGAACTCTGGGCCTGGGCACTGTCCCTCAGCTCTTCAGCTCAAGGCTAATGTTCTACCATTTGAACTACAGCACCACTTCGGGTTTTCTGGTGCTTTATTGGAGATAAGACTCTCATGAACTTTCCTGATCAGGCTGGCTTTGAAACATGATACTCAGAGCTCAGCTTCCTGAGTAGCTAGGATTACAGGCATGATCCACCAGCGCCTGGCTGTGAAACTTGTCTATCATAAAATCTTATGCTGAGAAGACAGGAAAACATGTATCATTGCATACTTTCTTTCTTTAATAAGATGTTCTAGTTTCAGCCATAAGTAACACTTGCATAGAGTCAAGAAAAGCACTTCTGATTTTATATTGGATATAGAGACCAAAATGTGTATTTTTTTTCTATATACAACTGGGACAGATTTCAGAGTTCTAATTTTCCTCTCTGAAAAAGTAGCAGACTTTTTTAAATTTTCTTTTATTCTGAAGGTGCTGTACAGAGGGGTTACAGTTACATGAGTAAGGTAATGAGTATATTTCTTGTCAAGCATTATTACCTCCTCCTTTGTTTTTCCTATTATCCCTTTCCTCCCTCATGTCCTTCAATCTTCTCCTTCTCCCCCCACCGAAGTTATAAAGTTCATTTCCAACATTAAGTCTCATTGTTGCAATGGGTTATCCTGTGTCCTCATTTCAGCATTTTGTTATTTCCTTTCACCTACCTAAATTAGATAAATGTATGTACAAGATGCAGGGTATCAAAATCAAGTACAATGACAAAAGGGGATAAGTGGCAGATTTTAACCTATTCTAAAGTCTCTGTTGCTATTCTACTCCACTGAAGTTACCAGGCTGCTACCTAGTATCAGAGGAGGCAATCGGGAAGAATTTCCACAGAAAGGGAAAGGAGAAAGCTTAAAGTCAGCAATCAGAAAACAAACTAGAAACCTGCAATTCCTATCAGAGTTACAGTCATTAGGGAGGAGAGGATCTCTCAGGTATCAAACTGCTAAATTTGATTGTTCCGCATTCATTGAGAGAGAATGCAAAGGCTAAACAGGAAAGGATGTAAAACAGTCCTTTGCTGTCCTTAACAGCTCTGCCTTGGGCCCCAATTTGTGTATCCAAGACAGCAAAATCAGAGCCACAAAGACAACTTCACAGGACACCAGGAAAGACTGAGTAGCAAATGTCTGTTTTTACCCACAATGCTCTTTGGTAGTTCCATTACCTATCTAATCCCCATACGATCAAAACAAGATTCTTTCAAACTACGTATGGTATTTTCCCCCAGAGCAGTCTTCAAAAGCACAATTATTCACTGCTCATACTTTCAGTATTCCAAGTGTTCCAGCATGAGTTACCACCCCAATAAATGTGGCCATCCCCTTACCTAGTTCTGGGCTGGAAGGTCCTAAGAGAATGTACGTAGAGTTTTAATGCATTTCAATTTCCTTTCCCTGGTTAGATTGTGAACTCTTTGGCAGAGCAGAGATGTGCCACCACTTTTAACAGGCTCTTTCCTTGCATACATATAAACAATATGTGCCCTGCCCACCTAATGGTCCATGTCTGTCATCCTAGCTACTTAAGAGACTCAGCTCTAGAAGATCACAGGTCAGGAGCAGCCTGAGAAAAGTTTGTTAGACTCCATCTCTAAACTAACTAGCAAATCGTAGCACTAGAGACATAGCTCAAGTGGTAAAGCCTCAGCTTAGTAAGCACAAAGCTCTGAGTTCAAACCCCACTACTACAGTTTATGAATGTCTGAAAGTAACATCTTAAAACTCACCAAAAACAACTCAAAGGAAGGGGGAAGCAGGAGAGGGTTAGAAATGAGTGATAATGGCAGGGTGAATTTGATCAAAGTACATGTCAGTTCTATCCCTATCACATCCCCAAGTCATCAAAATATTCTTTCCCTCAGAAAAATTCTTAAAAACACCATTATCCACATCTTATACTTCCAGTATCTCATATCACAGGGAAATGCTTTTGTACAAGTAATATTTGCTAATAAAGATGTTAGGGCCTGGAAAATAAAAATAGTCCCCATCACTGAAGAAACAATTGATGTGTTTCCTAAGTTTCCAGAGCTTTCATAGGTCAGAAAAACTTACAGAGGTAGCAGCATAACCAAGGCCTAAAAATAAACACTATCCTTACTCTGAACTTGGAAACCCCTGTATGTTTCTCACATGGTGTTTCTCATTCTTGTTTTATGAATAAGGAAAATGAAACTAGAAATATAAGAAAATGCCTAAAAGTCATCCAGATAATGTGTAGCCAATTAGTACAGAGTAACTACCGAGTAACTGTATGGTCACCTGATGGCAGCATGGTGGCTTGTGACTCCCTTAGTGGACTTTACACTAGTCACAACACAAACAAGGCTAAGCTAGTTCCATCAGAGCAGCACCCGCCCACCCAGAGAACTTCATGCTAAAGGGGACTAAAAGAGGATGCTAAGGGCAAAAAAAAAGAAAAGAAAAAGAAAAAAAATCCCACACCCATAAGTGTTGTTGATAAAATCAGTCCATTTCATAAGAAAAGCAGGAAATTCACACAATGCTAGCCTGAAATTACAGTCCAGCTTGGGGCAAGTGACAGACTAAAAAATAACTCAAAATTTAACAGTGCTAACCAAGAGAGTTAGAGATGGCTTGGGGAAACTGCATTTCTCTCTGGCTAACTGGGCAGTTGTGTATACACAGGAAAGAGGAGAAACTATAAGAGGAGAAACCTAAGCTCTGGCATACCACCTGACCTTTGAAAATACCAGCCCACACCCTCACACAGAGATCCATACAGAAGAAAGCTAATGATAGCTAAATTTCTCTGTCATATCACTGAATGGCTATTAAACTACACAGTCACCAGAGGGATCTCTAAAAAAGTAAGCTTGAATTGTAAAAATAAGCAGAACAGAGATATCAGCTGCATAGTCAAAAGGACAGAGATACTTAGATTAAGTCTGAGCAACTTAGCAAAAATAAATAAATAATAATAATAATAACAACAACAACAACTATAACCTATCTCAGGAAGAAAATACAGAATCCAGAATTGCTATAAAAGGTAATTTAAAATGTCCATTTCCATGTGTGTGTGTGTGTGTCTGTGTGTCTGTGTGTGTGTGTGTGTGTGTGCTCGCGCATACACGCAGGCACACACGTGCACACGTAGAACCTGGGGTTTGAAAGCAGGGCTTAGGCACTATCTCTGAGCTTCTTTGCTCCAGGCTAGTGGTCTATCACTTAACTTCAGCTCTATATCCAACTTTTTGGTTCTTAATTGGAGATAAGAGTGTCACAAACTTTCCTGCCCAGACTGGCTTAGAATCAGCTAAGCTCCACAGATCTGAGCCTCCTGAGTTTCTAGGATTACAGGCATAAGCCACAAGCACCCAGCTAAGATGTTCAGTTTTATAACTGAAAAAGCATGATTTTCAAAGGAACAGGAAAACATAGGACTCAAACATAGTAAAAACTCCAAGTGTACCCAGATGTTAGATTTAGCAAAGACTTAAAAAAAAACATATAAGTATGTTAAAATATAAGTATGTTCAAAGATTTTTTTTTTAATTTTTAAGTTTTTTTTAATTTTTTGATGTATTTTTCATTTCTACCCAGGAAATATATCAAAAAAATTTCCATATATTTTATAGTCAGTATCAACCTAAAATGAACTTGATAAATTATGACATAGTGTAGTTTCTAGAACAATAACTTAAATAAGGAAACCTAAAAATATACATTAAAGAATCAATAGGAAATATAGTACACTAAAAATATGTGACACAAAAATATGTTAGAGGAGTGAAGTAGATTTAGAAAACAATGAAACAGATAGGAAAAAGTGACAAATAGTACATATATACACAAAAGAATGATTACAATAAAGTTTAAACAAACACTCAAAAAAAGGCAGATATTGACAGAGTAGATTTTTTTAAAAGTAATCTCCAACTTCTAACTAAAACCATTTTGAAACCTAGAAACAGTTTCTAACCAAATATGACAAACATAGTATTACAAGCCAGGTGCTGGTAGCTCACATCTGTAATCCTAGCTACTCAGGAGGCTGAGATCTGAGGATTGCAGTTCCAAACCAGCCGGGGTAGGAAAGTCCGTAAGACTCTTATCTCCAATTAACCACCAGAAAACCGGAAATGTGACTCAAGTGGTAGAACACTTGCCTTGAGCTGAAGAGCTCAGGGACAGTGTCCAGGCCCAGAGTTCAAGCCCTACGACCAACAACAAAAAAAAAGAAACATAGAATTACAGATAGTAAGAGCCATCATGACTATAAATAATGTCAGGAAAAGTAGATATTAACAGAAGAAATAAAACTTAAGGAAAAGAATAACCTCTCATAATGATAAATAAAAATAGAAATATAAAATCCATGAATGTATAGATACCATCTAACAGCTGAGTCCCAAAATAAATAAAGCAAAAACTGACAAAATTAGATGGTGAAAAGAGATATATATGAACTCAGTATCACATTTCATTAAGTGGATAAATAAAATATAAGTAATAATGCATAGCTTTATTAACTCATATAAACCATATTCATGTCATATGGTAATATGCCATCATTTTAAACATTTACATTATAAAAGAAAAAAAGATCATAATGAAAACTCTCAATGAACTAGGAATATAATAGGAAATTAAGAATTCCTACCAAAGCCCACAGCTTTCAATATCTCACTGTTTCCCCACTGTGACCCTCAGCAAAAAAACATGCCTGCTCTTAGCACTTCTAGTCAATAATTTTCTGAAGGTACTAGCCAGTGCAATAAGGCAAGAAAAAATAAGACATCTACACTGAAACAGAAGTGACACTGTTTCAATTTTCAAACAAGAATCTGTTTTTAAAAAAAGACTCTATAGAAGAACTACTGGCATTAAGACATAAATTTAGATAAATTTAGAATAAAACCAACTGAGTTTCTATATCTTAGCAATGCTCAATTAAATGATACTAAGATAATTCTAATCAGAATAACAAAGAATGAAATATTTAGGGAAACACTTAAAATAAGTACAAGTCCTTGAATACAGATTTCTTAAATTAGAAAAGCATGGTCACAATGCAAAATATGTAATAAGTCAGATTTCATTAATATTCAAAATTCTTGATTTTACAAAAAATACTTTCTAATGAACAGACTAGGGAGAAATATTTATCATTCTAGGTATACAACTATATATACAAAACAGAACTGGTACCCAGAACAATTTAACATTTAGCATTCAATATAAGATTAACATTCCAATTTTAAAATAAGCAAAATATTTCAATAAGCAGATCACCAAAAAGTTATGAATGGCCAATAACTACAAGAAATTATGCTTAGCATTATTATAGTCATTAGAAAACAGGCAACTTAAATCTCTGTAAGACACTATTACAAATTCAATAGTATGGCAATCATCAGAAAGACTGGAAACTCCAAGTGCAGGCAAAGATACAGAGACACCAGAATCCTCAACACAGGATAATAGTAATGGCACAGAAACTGCCAATAGGAAGTTTCTTAGCTAAATATAAAACTACACATGGCAATTCCACTTGCTATCTATCCAAGAATGGAAAATGTATGCACACAAAATGACTTGTGCATGAATGCTTTTGTAACAGTATATAATAAATTATATATTATATATAATAGTTATTGCTATAAACAAGAACCAGACCTGATGTTTGTTAATTGGTAAATAGATAAAATATAGGGTACCTATACAATGGAAAGGAAAATAGATATATGGTTTAAGGATGAGTATAAGAAACAATTTACAAGTAAAAGATGTCAGGCCCAAAAGATTACGTTGTTTGGACCATTTATATAAAATCTCTAGAAAAGGCTAATCTGGAGAGATGAAAGCAAATCAATGTTTGCGGTGGAAAAAGGAGACATAGGCTGTAAGAGACTTCAAGAAATGTTTAGATGATGGAAATGTATTAAAACTGGACTCGAGTGGTAACAGGACAACTCTACAGTTTGCTTGATATCACTGAACTAAATAATTATAATGTGCTCATCAGTGGCAATTAGAATATTCCAAGTAGCTACTAAATAGGCATTTATATGTGCTTCCTTTAGAAAATTACATGTAGGAAGTAGTGGTGCTGTGGCTCAAGTGGTAGAGCGCTTGCCTTGAGCTGAAGAACTGAGGGACAATGCCCAGGCCCAGAGGTCAAGCCCCATGACCGACCAAAAAAAAAAAATAAAGAAAGAAAAAAGAAAAAATTATATGTATATTCTTGCTGTGTTATGAAGACTGAGTAAGGACTATATGTAGGAGAAAGGTCAATCTTTACATGCATGTTCTATCTTATGGATATGATCTTTTCTTTCTTCCTGTGACTGCTCTATTTAAAGATCTCCCTAGAAGTAAATGAAACCCTGTGGGCTAAAGATGGAAAGCATGATGAACTCCCGCATACGCTCTTCACTCACTCAGATTCTTAGCCAACCAGGAGAGGACATATGCAGTACTTGCAAGCTTATCCCAGCTCTCATGTAAACAGTTACTGAAAGATCCTAGCTTCCTTGCCTGGCTATAGCAAAAGTCATTTTCACAAACAGCTTTTGACCTCTGATGTTATGCTATTCCTTGATTCTAACCACTCATGATTATCAGCATATGATAACACATAAATACACACTTACCAAAAGAAATGTCCGGATTGTTCTTATTTTGTTCAGTTCAAGAAGCAATTTTTGTGCCTTCTCGTGGTTACTACAATATTCATCATAGATACGAAACTTGTCCTTCTGTGAAGTTAAGACATAATAGGGTCATTTTATTACCACTTTGAGATTCTAGCCTATATGATATGCATATAGCTTATAAAGTGTTTACTATGTCTCAAAAGCTATACTGTATGTTTATATATACAAATTACATTTATTTCCCTAATCTCAAAAGTATAGCCTAAAAACAGTAAAGAAACACATATCAATTATACTCTAATATGTTGAATGCAGCAATATAAATAATCTAACTGGTGACAAAGTAGAGAAAAGAGTGCTTAGCTTTGCCATGAGAATTCAGATACAGCCTTAAAAGGATGTAACTTCTAGTGAGGTGCTCTTAGCTCACACCTGTCTTCCTAGCTACTCAGGAGGCTGAGATCTGAGGATCACAATTCAAAGCCAGTCCTAGCAGGAAAGACCATGAGACTCTTATCTTCAAGTAACCACTGAAAAGCCAAAAGTGGAGCTGTGGCTCAAGTGGTAGAGCACTAGCCTTGAGTAAAAAAGAGCTCAGCTCAGAGACAGCACCTGGCCCTAAGCTCAAGCCCAGAATAGGCACAGCAAGAAAAAAAAAAAAAGATTCAACTTATGAGTTTCTTAGCCAGTCTAATGGGATAAACTCATGATTCTCAAGCAGGGAGATGAGGTAAGACAGTCATTTGATAGAGAGAAATGGTTTCCAGATCACTGAGGAATAGCAGAAGATGCCCTGAAGTTCACAACTGCCAACCTAGACAGCTGTGTTTAAGAAGGACACTGATATATACAAGAATACAGGGCAATAATGACAGACCATGAGACTCCCCGATAGGACATCTCAGAGGTCATTTCAGAGAAATATGTCTGTTTGTTTAGAAGAGTCAGAGCAGAGTAGCTACTTGAAAATAGCGATCATATCATAAATGACTGGCCTTCTATGTAGACTAAAAACATAATAATAGGACCATTAGGTGGACACTGCCAAGGCAGATATGAGATCAATAAGGAGTTCTTAGAAGAATTAGAGCTGCCATTAAAAGTTACAAACTAGGGTCAAATAAAGTCTTCACAGATGGACAGAGAGGATTCTTTCAAAAGAGGAAGAATTTTGTTTTAATGCTCTTTAAGGTCCTTCCCATCTGTAAGATTTTCCCAAAGTAACTAGTGACTTTCAAATGCCAATTTGAAAAAAAGTAACATAAAAATGTACGGCTTGTGGCTCACATATGTAATTCTAGCGACTCAGGAGGCTGACGTCTGAGGATCATACTTCAAAGCCAGCCTGGGCAGGAAAGTCCATGAGACTCTTATCTCTAATTAACCTCCAGAAACCTGGAAGTGGAGCTGTGGCCCAAAGTGGTAGAGCACTAGCCTTGAGCAGAAAAGCAAGCTGGAGCAGAGAAGTCTTAAAGATGTTTATCTCCAATTAATCACCAGAAATCCGGAAGTATAGCTATGACTCAAGCAGTAGAGAGCCAGCCTTGAGTGAAAAAGCTACAAGACAGCTTCTAGGCTCTGAGTTCAAGCTCTAGTACTGGCACACACACACACAAAAAAAGAAATATTGATCAAATACTGGAACAGAAGTATGTGCTCTGAGATGTCAAAGGCAAGCAAGTAGAAACCATAAGGACTATTTAGTACAGAATACTGTTTAATACAGCAGAATATTGAATTACTGTATCTCAAGCCAGGTAAATAAAACAAAGCCCAGAAATACTTTAGCTAAATTCATGGATGGCAGATTCATAAGAAGGGTTACTATGAAAATGGATGTTAAGGAGCAAGAGTTTCATTGCTGGCCTGGTCTAATGCAGTAGCCACTCCAGCTGGCACAAAATTCTAGGACTTTCTTGAAAGGAAACAGGCTAAAATAAATGGACACAAACACTTGCCTTCCAGCTGTGCCTAAAAAAAGTACAGCTTAATTTCCCTACACTCAATGAGACTCTCCCTTCAATGATTACCTTTACAAAATATTTCCTGATTACTAAAAGAACGCATAGAGAGTACAGACAGATTATCACATATAGAAAGGTCTAGAAGCTACATAGAGGGAAGTGATGGCCCAGGCACAGGATGTGATCTCTGGCTCCTCATTCCCTCAGAACAACTAAGAAGCCATTCTCAGGGAAAATCCAGCCACCACAGACACTGGGTTTTGTTCATCTTCAGGATTGCCACTAGCTGACCAACTGGAGAACATTTGGACTAATGAAAGGCTCCTCACGCCATTAGAAGAGTGAGGATTTTATGCCTCAAAAGGAAAATGTTCTACGTTTGGGAGAAACATAAAAAAAAAAAATCTATTCATTATGAACAGCCTGAATATTCATTAGGATTCAAAGCTACAGAGAATAGGAAGAATGAACTTGGAGTGGGGGAGGGAGAGAAAAGGCTGTTTATTCTTTGCTGAGTAAAACAGATGATGAGAGGCACGCCTCCTGTTTCCTCTTTCCCTACTTCTGGCTCCAAGTATAAGACTTCACTGGCCTTAAAAGACCCCAAATTTTGGATATCAGATTTTATTTCCAATAAAATAATGCTGAATTCACACATATGATGCTGCCTCCAAGAGGGAAGAATTTTTTTAATAAACAGAAGGAAAAAAAATATGCGTATCCTACAAAATGGAGAAAGCAGGTTCCCACTTCCTGTTGAGCATTAGGTTCGGGCTGTAAGCATTCTTCTACAACTTTTAAGAATTCTTTATGTACAGCAAGGATTTCTTCAATGTTCGAGAACAACATCTGTAAAAATAAATGTGTCAGTAAGTGTAGTATTGAAGCTAGTTTAAAGAAAAATGATACAACATCCTCTCTCTGAACTGAAACGTTCAGTGTGGATTGATAGTAGCTGCCCACATCCATTCCTATCTCTTCTTCACCAGTTAGCAGAAACTCCATTTTACATTTTCCTCTACTCCTGCACAGCTTAGGGACCAGGGTCCTATGCCTGGCAATCAGTTCCAAGCCTGAGTGAGCAAGTCCAAGCAAGATAAGCCAGCTCCACCCCACAGTGGGATGCAATGCCGTGGGTAGACTTGCTGGTAGGCTTTTGGGAGAAGGGTGCCTTTGCTCTTAAGAAGGGTGGGCTGGAAGGGATCCCTCTCCTGCTCCCTACCTCCCAAAAGATACCTCTCACTTATGGAAGTGACAGAAGGGACAGTTACAGCCTCACTGGGTTTAACTGTGGGAGGAGCCAGCTCCATGGCAGAGCTGGCTCCTAGATGTCAGAGTGAATCTTTGGGGAAACTCTCACAACTAATTGGCCCCCCACATTCATCTTGGAAACCTTTCCTTCCCTTTCAGGTGCCTCATTAGAAGTGAAAGGCTTCTCAAGTCTATCTGAATCATCACAGGTTGCTTTTTTCTCTTGCAGCCCAAAGCTCACTCACTAAAATATTCTCATGGGAGGAAAAATTGAGAGTTAAATCTCAAATGAGGAGGAAATAAGAGTCTGAAGAACCTTTAAAAAATCCTTAGAATATTTTTGATAAAATAAAATAAGTTAAAGCTATCAATATCAATGATTATGTATACAACTTAAATGAATAACCACTATTGGATGATTTTCCGTTTACCTCTTTAAAAAAAAACTGTAGCTGGGAAGGTGGCTCAGTGGTAGAGTGCTTGCCTCATATGAGGCCTTGGGTTCAATTCCTCAGCACCACATAAGCAGAAAAAAGCCGGAAGTGGTGCGGTGGTTCAAGTGTTAGGACACTACCCTTGAGCTGAAGAGCTGAGGGACAGCGCCCAAGCCCAGAGTTCAAGCCCCACCACCGACAAAAAAAAAAAAAAAGAAATGTTTACCCATTTGTTTCTGCATTGAAGATATTACGTGGATTTTCTTTTCTGCATCCCAGTGGACCATCAAAACCTCATTATTTAGTGATTAATCGCAGAGACTAGAAATCACATTTGCCCAGCTCTGCCTTTTGGAACCATCTGCAGCCATCCTCTGACTACTTGCTTAACATCCTCCCTCTGGTAGACACTGAAGTTTTTATATGCATTTTATTTTGCTTCCTCTTTTCTATTTCCAAGATTTCTGTGTAACTTTCAATCCATTCCCTCTGTCCTCACCTAAATACTAGTTCCTCTTTTTGAGTTCCTCTTTTGTCAACAAAAGTGAGCAAAGGTAGGAACTTAAGAGTAAAACTGCAGATAAATCAAAGGGAGGGCCTCAGATGAACTTCTATCTATGGGAAACTCATGCTTGCATTGTATCAAGAGACCATTGGACCTCCTTACCTTCACTGTTTCCTCTGTTACATTTTTGTCAACTTTTGCTGCTGCACACTGGTTCATTCGATGTAAGAATGCCTGTGTGAAACAAGAAAATGTTATGCAGGTACAGCATCATAAGATAACTTAATCAGAACTAAATTCACTTTTGTAAGAAATCAAAGTTAAAAGGTACAGTAGTTGAGTACAAATAGTTTTGTTGTGACATCACGATGGTCATTATTAAAGCTTGACTGATGGTTCAATGGAGTAGTTGAATAGTTTATTCCTATTAAGCATTGAAATAGCAAGTTTAAAAAGAGAGGGTTGGAACCTAAGGCAGGAGGGTCGGAATTCTAAGGACATCAGAAGCTACACAGAGCAACCCTACCTAAAAAAGAAAGAGGAAGCGGAGAAAGAGCAGGAGAAGGGGGAGGAAGAGGAGGAAGACATGAAGAAGAAAAGAGAGGAAAGGAAGGAAAGGAAAGAGAGAAAAGATAAGTTTACTTCCAACAAATTGAGGCTACTGTCCACAAGACATTCCATGAGATGTCGACTGACTACGTAAGGTCAACCATTCCTGGGGCTGAGGAAGTTGCTCAATGGTAGTGCCTGTGCAGTATATGAGTCAGATCCGCAATACTACACAAAGGAAAAAATGATCACCAACTTGTTTGTCTTACAAAGTCCACAGTTACATGCCAAGTCAGGCAGGATATGGCTCCCCCTACCTGCCAGGTTACAGTATGACTCCATGGGACACACAAGTGCAGAGGATTATCTGGCTAGTAAATCAGAAGAAAATTAAAATAAGAATCCTGTGTTATATTTACAAGGTTTTAGGAGATTACCAAGAATTTACAAACATTTAAGAGTTTAGAAAAACCCAGGATTGTTCATTAAATTTCAAAATCATCTCCCTTGAGGCATTGCTAATAAAAATATAAATTAACACATCATTTTTTTTCTTTTTGTGTTCTTCCTTTTTCTTTTTCTTTTTCTTTTTTTTTGCCAGTCCTGGGGCTTGAACTCAAGGCCTGGGCACTGTCCCTGAGCTTCTTTTGCTCACGGTTAGCACTCTACCACTTAAGCTACAGTGCCACTTCCAGCTTTTTCTGTTTATATTATACTGAGGAATCGAACCCAGGGCTTCATGCATGCTAGGCAAGCACTCTACCACTAAGCCACATTTCCAGCCCTGACACATCATTTTTGAGGACAACTTTACAATGACTCTCAAATTTAAAAGTGTTTAAGTATTTTGTTTGATCCAGAAATTCTACTTCTAGGAATTTATTCTATAAAAATTTTCTGACAGGGGAGGATTGGGTGGGGGGGGGGGGGCGGGGGGAGGATGGGAAGGGATGGGAAGGGGAAACAAAGGAGGAGCCTACAATGCTTGATAAGAAATGTACTCATTATCTTGCCCATGTAATTGTAAGTCATCTGTACAGTATTTTCACAATAAAAATAATAAAATAAACCTTAAAAAATTTCTGACAAAGGTCTTCATAGTATTGACTACAAAAGTAGACAAATTGAAAACAACTTAAAAAACAACTTAAAAGTCCAACCAATTACAGAGAACAGTAAATACATTCTGGTACTTGCAAATTATAGAATGCCATGACAAAAGTCCAATCCCCAGTGAAATGTGACGAGAAAGATAGGCATATGCATACAAGTATATATGACAGAGATTCAAAAATTCTTTGGTGAAATTAATGACATATGTATAATGTCAATGAGTTCATATTCAAGAAATATGAATGGCAAATACCAACCATGCAAACAGTCATCCTCTGGGTACTGATTTGTTAAAAAAAATAAAACTATTAAAACTACTATTACTAACAATTTTTTAAATGATCTCAAAGAAATCCCAACAAATAAGCCCCAAGATCTTGGTTCTAGCACGAATTTCAACAGCACTTTCATTTCTGAATCACCCAGTCTGTGTTTCAGATTTCATAACTAAAAAGCTGCATCAAAACTCATAACCCTAATTTTTAACATCAGCTGAGTTCAATAAAAGGACTAAGGAAACATTTGAGTGTACGGTCTTAATTTCAGATAGCATGCCAGCAACAGAAGTCTGAACAATTATCTTGAGTTGTGTATTGTTAGCCATAGAATTTGGTATCTTCTGACTTACTTATTTTAATTTGTATTATTCTGTGTTAATTTTTAATTTCAAGTTTGCTTTTCTTGTGTATTTTCCAAATACTTATACCAAAAATGCTCTTTGGCTTTTCCTACTTAGATCTGAAATAACATGGATGGTTTACTTACCTTGTTTACATTTCACATTGACCACATTAGTAAACAGGTAATCTCTCATGCAAGCAAAACTTAAACTTTACCTCTACAGTTATAAACTTATCCTTCCTAAACAAAACTTGACCACATTCTGAAGCCAATAAATTAAGGAAGTCATAAAATTAAGTAAAAAAATGAATTAAACTAGAACACACAAACTAATAAAATACACTATATCCATATGTGATTTTCTTGCTTCTTACTCTTCTCCACGATATGTAATATTTTATTTAACTGAATACCAAAGGGAACCTGGAACTCACCAGAATTTCTGACCAACCAGTTACCTTTCCCAAGGGCACCATTTTATACAAGAGTGAAAGCAGATTTTTAGATGCTTTCTTGCAGCACACAATCGTAAATTGATTTGACATATTTTATATGCCATTTAACTCTTCCTTCCTGAACATAAAAATAAGTGCATGCTTTTGGAATCATCCTTTAACAAACAGTACCTACAGAGTTTGTTCAGATTTGGGCAATTGAGCATTTAATACTTTGCACATCAATCACAGAAGCTTAATAACCCAGTCACAAAACTCCTTGTGGGGTTATAGACATTTATCCATTTATTTATTCATTCTCACTGAGTCAGAATTCTATCAGAATTGGATAATTTCTACCTTCACAGAAAGATACTTGAAAGTAAGTCCTGGAAAATAGCTTTTAATACCAGTGGTTTTCAAATTCTGGGTTATGTTTAAAACAGAGATACCCAACCTATTCCTGAAAGAATTGGTCAGTACTCGTAAATCAGCATGCTGAGTAGGACATTTTGGTGGTTCCGACGTAGTCAATCAAGAGACTACCTTCTGGTAAACACCTGTTTGTGTTTCTTCTTCTAAAGAATGAAAATGAAAAGACTTAGAGAAGCAAGAAAGTGAATCTGAATGAGGAAAAAGAGTCACTTCCAACAATGCCACAATGAATGGTTATCTGTGAATCTCCCTCTCACCCAGGCAACACAGACATTTTAGTACCTTGCCAGAAGATTGGTTATGATCATCTCTGGAGACTAGGGGAATGCAAGAACAGGTGGTGGAGGTTAGGTGGAGTCACATTTGGAAGAGATGAAACTTCCAGGTCCCTCCAAGCACCTTTCAGCTTGCACATCAGAAAGTACTCGGTTCAACAGCATTCCCCTACACACACACAATGGCTCCACACAGAATGTTCCTAGATACCACTATGTGAATAGATTATATTTCTCTCACACTGTAGCAAGCTTCTTTATTTTCTCTATAACTTAGTCCGTATTGTTTCTTTTTTATCAAGTATTTGATAAAACCTTGTATTAAATGTCACTTGCTAACAACACTGGAAATATCCCTCCAAGTGACCAAAAGAAGAATGAAACTGATGAATACAGAAGAGAAAGATGTAAAGATTGCTTTCTACTCGCTTCCAATCTGTGCAGCTGCTAAGTCCAACTGCAAAGCCAAGCCTACCTTACGTTTCATTTTCAGGACGAACTTTATTACTGCATAATCTCAGTATTCAGAATGGTCTCCTTCAAATTCTTATTTGTCTTTACCACTCTTTTAATCAGTCGGAAACACATAAATCACTCTCAGAAGTCTCACTGATTTAAGCTGTATGTGCTGGCTCACTCCTGTAATCCTAGGTTTCTCAATGGGCTGAGATCTAGAGGAGCATATTCTGAGGCTAGCACAAACAAAAAGTTCATGGGAACTCATCTCAACAGAGAAAAAACTGATGAGTGTGAGCCTGTAACCCCAGCTAGGGCAGGAAATATAAATAGGTGGATCATGGTCTAGGGCACCCAGGCAAAAAACAAGACTTATCTTTAAATACAAAATTAAAAAAGCAAAAGCAGCTAGGAGCATGGCTCAAGTGGTATAGTATTAGCTTATCAATACAAAACTCTGAGTTTAAAATTCCAATATTACCAAAAAAATATTTTAACACTTACACTTCTAATTTCAGATACTCTGCGCCAATCTAAATAATTTCAAAATATCATGTGAGCACTAACCATTCTTACTTCTATAACTATTCCATATTCCAAATCTTTTAGCTCACACTGTCCTTGTGGAAATACAGCTGTTTAATAGGGATAGAGATGAGTACATTTTCTATATAAAAATTAAAAGACCTAATTTCAAGAAGGGCTGTACTGACACAGAAGTGTACTACATAAATTTTTAAAAGAATTAAGGGTAAATGTTTTTCTTTTATCTCTTGAATCTAAGACAATATTATCTCATCACACTCCTTTGCAAGATAAATATTTTGCTTTATTTTCCTAAAAGGAAAAGCAAAATCTTAATGAATGAAAAGGTTGTCATCTTACTTTGACTTGAATATCTAGTTGGGAGTTATACCACGAGGAGAAGACTAGAAAAGGAACAGGCTAGGGGGTGGAGAAAATTAGGAGAATCTGATTTTGTTTTAGGTCTGTGGAGTCTGAGGTGACTATTGGACACCAGTTGTGAGATCCTAAGTAGGGGATTAGCATAGAAATCTGAGGTTCTAAAGGGAGATATGTTGGAAGTCATCTCTGTACTTGCTGAGGGGAGATCATAGCTGAGTATCAGGGACAAGAGAATGGAAATCAGAAACTAAGGGAGGAGACACCCAGCTTCAGTCAATTAGACAAAATGTATTGATTTTTTTAAAGGGGAGGGGCTGGGAATGTGGCTTCTTGGCAGAGTTCTTACCTTGCCTGGATGAAGCCCTGGGTTCAATTTCTCAGTACCACATCAACAGAAAAAGCCAGAAGTGGTGCTGTGGCTCAAGTGGTAGAGTGCTAGCCCTGGACAAAAGAAACCCAGAGAAGTATGTCTTTCCTAGCCTGGACCTTTACTTCTATACACAAGGCTCAGAGTGGGATGGAATGCAGTAGGCCCCATCTCTACCTTCTCTTTCATTACTCCAAAGAAAAGGAAACACATATTCTTCAATTTCAGTCTTACTGTCGAGCACTTGAAACTGTTAGGGGAACAACAAAAATTACAAAAAAAATACAAACAGGGAAATGACTAACCCTACATATTTTTATAATTATCTAACATTCATGGCCCTAGTTCAGGGTTCCAGATTGCTATTATTAACTTTGAGTTTTTATTCTTGTCTCCCTAAGTCCATTCTCTATGCAGCAGATTAATGATCTGATTAATGAGATGTTAAAATGATCGCTTAACAATGTAAACTGGATTATGACATTGCATCTTAAAATATTCAGAGGTTCTTTTCCCACTGAGAACTGTCTGTTGGCCTGTCTTGGTCCACTCAGCCTGCTGTAGCAACATGTTAGACTGGATAATTTATAAACAATAGAATGAAATGTATTGCTCATTATTGTAGAGGCTGAGCAATCCAAGATGAAGGAGCCTGGTAAAGGCCTGCTGCTCACAGATATAGCCTGCTGTGGGCCCTTATTTGGTCAAAGGGGTAGACAGCCTTTCTTAAGCCCCTCTTTGGGGGGCACTACACCCATTCATGAGACAGAGCTCTCACCACGGAGTCGCCTCCCAAAGACTCCCAACATCTAATAGATGGGTTTCAACAACATACAAGTTTTGAGGGAACACAAACATTTAGAGCTCAGCAAGGCTCTAACAAGATGTGGTTCTCTGTCTCTGGCTGTCTTTGTCCCTCTCTCTTTCTCTCTCATCCTTCTTTCCCCACTCTGAACCACTGTCCAACCCACGCTGGCATTCCTGTGCCTTTCTATCCATAGCATTCTAACGTCACCTTTCCACAATTTTATGACCTCCATCCTCTCTCTAGAGTATTTTCTTCTGGCTGTCTCCCACTGTCATTCCGTTTTCAGCTGTAACACCATTTCCTCAAAGGTGTGTGCTCCTTTCCCCAACTCCCATCATATCCTATCTACCGTATCGCACTACTTTGTCTTCCCCTCAGTCCTTGCAATCCTCACTGTTCCATTGTGCATGCTTGCTTGCTCTTCCACACCAGGGAAGGGAGCTGCAGCAATGATGTTTGATGAGTCTTCAGTACACTTTTGTGGAATGACAGAAGCTTTTTTGTTCTTAACTGGACTATTTCCATCTCTGAAGACCACAGGGTTATAAAGCATTAGTTCCCCTAGTGTATTACAACCCCAAATAGTCATAAGCAATTTGGAATACAGGCTATGACATTAGCTCCTTTTCCATCACCATATGGCAGGGTTTCTCAATCTTGATACTGTTGACATTTAGAGCTGGAAAATTCTTTTGTTGTGAGGGACTGTCTTGTCATCTACAGGATATTTAGTAGTATCTTTTCCAGTCAGATACACCAAACAATAATTATAAAATAATGTTGGTCTGCACATCTGCCTCCACTAGACTGTAAGTCCCTACTTAATAGCAACAAAACCTTTGTGTCTTTGGAATGAACAGCTGTTTGACCCTGCCTGCCATGACAACACTCTATCCACACAAAACTTCCCAAACTCATAGAACAAGAAAGCACTTGTTACAAGTTTAGTAGCATTTAAGATTCACTCTCCAGTGCATGCATCTATCACTCTACAAATCATTAAAACAGAACACACCACATCTAGATTACTCAGATAAATACCTACAAGGACTCCAATGACACACACCGCAGGCCAAATCCCCTAATGAAAGTCCTGGGATGGCCTTTTCCGTCCAATTCCAGATCTTAAAAGTGATCATTGTGTCAATATCATTAAGGGTTGCTGCAATTGGCTCAACTTCTTTAAAAGATGTTGTAATCTTTTTCAGAACAACTATGAGTCCTTTGTGATATAATCTTCCAGGCTAGTTGAACCAGATTATAAAAACTCAGTCAGGCTGGGAGCTGGTGGCTCACGCCTGTAATCTTAGCTACTCAGGAAGCTGAGATCTGAGGATTGCGGTTCAAAGCCAGTCCGGGAAGGAAAGTCCGTGAGTCTCTAATCTCCAGTAAATCATCAGAAAAACCGGAAGTGGTGCTGTGGCTCAAGTGGCAGAGCGCTAGCCTTGAGCTGAAGAGCTGAGGGACAGCGGTCAGGCCCAGAGTTCAAGCCCCACAACTGACAAACACACACACACACACACACACACACACACACACACACACACACACACACACACACACACACACACACAACTCAGTCGGGATTTGAGAACCATGAAAAGTTTTTGTGTATACTATTCGATCACAATTAGACAAAAATGAATATGACAACATGGCGACCTTGAGCAGTTTTCAGGAGCTAGTGCTCATCAGCTATCAGATGTGTATGGTACACTATAGACAACACACCAGTGTTTTAAGATGTCTAATGGTTAGGTATCTGGAAAGTCAATGCTGAAGCTGAACTCAATCTGAAAGAGATGCTGAAACACTATTATCGGAGTTAATAGCTAGGATAAGATTAATAAAAGTAAAAATGAAACCAAGTGCAGTGGCTGATGCCTGTATTCCTGGCTGCTCAGAAGGTTGAGACTGGGAGGATCATGGATCAAGGCCAAAGGGTTTACAAGACCCCAACTCAAACAACAAAAGCCTGGAGAATTGACTGGCCACTATCATCCCAGCAGGACTTGAGATCTGGGATGGCCAGGCATATTTGAAAAATAACTAAGGCGAAAACAGAGCATGGTTCAAGTGATAGAGACCTGCCTAGCAAATATAAGCCCCTAAGTTCAATTCAGCATCACCAAATCCTCAAAAGAAGTAAAAGCAAAAATTAAGAGATTTATGCAGATAGCTGTAATAAAAAAAATCACAATAAATGCAAATGTTTATTAAGTGATTCTGTGGGTTTTTTTTGTTTTGTTTAACATTTGGGGGTTTTTTGTTTCAATCCTTACAAATTCATCTCACAGCTCAACCTGTAAAAATATTATTTTAGAAACATAGTTAACTTCCATTGGCCTAAGGCAATGAGTTGGTCTTTTTTGCTGAAGTCATAAACAATAAAGGTATTGTTTAACATAGCACAATGCTGTAAAAACATCAATTCAATTGCAACCATTAAAAAAATAAAGAGTATTCACACAAGAGTCAATAGAGTCCCTTCAAACATTTGGAGAAAATCAACACAAGGGCCTGTACTCCTCAGTGGGAACAAGAAGCTGGGATTAAAAGAGACACATATTCACTTCATTTTGCCAAAGTCACCACTATTCTCTATTATAATCTACACCAAAGCTGAATGTTAACTGCCATGTGTGTTCCACACTAATTTTTTTAATGCAAAGTCCATCTTGTTTATCTTTATGACTTGAAATCTCTATAATCAATCTTGATCTTTTCATCAATGTTCTCTTAGCTCTTACTGGTCATTTTTGGAATGATCAATGAGTTAACTTTAAAAGTAGCCTAAAAAAGCATTTGGTGTTTGCGTTTATTAACTGTTAATTTTCCCAGGAAGTTTAAATGAACTATGAAAGTGGAAGTATATTTCAAGTGGTAGAAGGTCCACCTTGGGAAAAAAGGCTAGGTCCTGAGTTCAAGCCCCAGTATCAACACCACACACACACACACACACACACACACACACACACACACACACACACACACACACACACATGCTGAAGTAAGAAGATAACTTTTTTTGAAGTGACATTTGGGAAAGACAGCTCTGGAAGCCATGTATAGGGCTAGTTTTCACAAATATTGAAACAAGTTCATATTCCTTATCTTAAACTTTTATTTTTTAATGAAGTAACTTTCTGGCAATAAAATTAGCATATTCATTTAAGTACCATTTGATTCATAAAAATATGTTCTTTAAATTGTTTGGGGTGATAGATGTGAATTCCCAAAATGTTCAAAAATACCCCACAGTCTAGGAAGAAGTCACTTAAAGAAAGTACTGAGTTAGGAAGTACATGGTGTTTAGAGTGGGCAGTTGGGAAAGCTGTCAAAATTAACCCTCCCCAACACATCTGGCAATGCCCACTGGACACAGATTAGCCACCGGATGTCTACAGGAATGGAGTGCAGCTGTGTGGTAAACAGTTATGGGAAGCCAAAGTCTCAGTTTCCTGTCCCATAAAATCAGGTTAATAATAGCACCTGCTCACCCAGAGATGCAAAGCATTGCATCGAGGTAACTGTAGTTAGCACTTCGTGCAGTGCAAGCAAACAATACTGGCTGATGTTTCTGCAAATGCCATGGTTTATTGCTACATCCCTAGCCACAGGTCTACTAGTTCCATTGGTTGTAATTATTACTAATGACCAGAAGAACAGAACTAAGGGGAAAGCTCTCCCACCACTCCGCCTTTTCCTCTCTGCATCTCTATTAATAGCAAATCAATGTGACTTCTGGATAGTTCAATTCAAGCCTTTGGGGGGCAACTTCTATTTTATAGCTGTTCCTCAACACTGACAACCCCATTGGAAATTAAAAATATGATCAGTCAAAATGTGGCTTTACCCTCATATCATACAAAATATGCTCACTTAGCAGCACAGACCACTGTGGAGTATCTTGGTTTTTCCTCTGGCTGACTGGGAGCTGGGCTCACGGCTGCCACACAGTACCTGAGAGAATAATGCTGCCTGAGAAATGTTCCAAATGAAATTTCAAAGCCCAGAGTCTGCTGAATGCACATGGACTCTACAACATCATTACATCAAAATCTAAGTGAAATCATTATTAAGTTGGCAGTTGTCTCTAAGTGTAAAATGCTGTGTCTTCCACACATATTGGATATCTCTGCTCTGAATTCTAGCATTGTCACACAGACTTGTACATTCAAAACATTTATAAATTTATCAAGAACAGAAGATAGTAAAAAAAATAAAAATAAAAATCATTCAAAATCAAATTATAAGATCTCAGAGACCACTGTCTATCTCTTCAATCCTTGGCAGGACTTCAAGCACAGGGCATTAATAAAAACTAAATAGCATGCTAGGTGTGATAGCACTCCAAGTTAGGCTACATTGCAACATGCACCCTAATATAAATATATTAAACAATAAGTTATAATATCTAATTATATAATACAAAATATACAATTCTACTTTAATATTGTAATATAGTATAGTAATATATAGTATTCTTGTCTTAATATATTATAAATGTGAATCTATTTTTGTATATTACAGGATATATTAATATATTAATTATATATAATGCAAATATGTTATATTGTATATTGTTATATTATAAGTATAATATATGGTAGGATATTATATTTATTATATATTATTACATAATGTATCACAAATATGTATGATGTTCAATGTACTAATATATCAAATAATATATTCTATTATGAACATAAATTTATTAAATATATATATAGAGAGAGAGATGGACAATGTATGTGAAGCATGGTCAGAGAAGACTTTCTTTTATTAATTTACTTTATTGTTATTATACAGGTGATGTACAGAGGGAATACAATCACATGAGTCAGGTAATCTCCCAGTCCCTTCCCTTCTGTCTCCATCGCAGTTCACTTTCATCAGTGTTCAGTGAGCTTCACTACTGAACTTTTTCACCCTTTTTCCCTTGGGTTCTGTTCCCTCTCCCACAACCCTTCCGAAGATACACATGAATATACCATACATAAGGTAAAGAAGACAGAATCATCAAAAACTGAAAATTTAAAAAAAGAAAGGGGAAAAATAAAAAGGTCTCGTGTTTCCATATTTCAGTACATATATTATTTTCTATAAATAAGAAGAGGTGCTTAGACATTGTACCTTTGTGTTTCTCTCCTAAGAGTATCCTCTTTCAGTCTCAGTGTATGAGTATCTAGCAGAGCAGACATATGATGTCAATAGGTACCACAGATCTGAGTGTGGATGAGAATGGTCCATGCTGATGAAGAGGACAATCCAATCTGAAGTCTCAAAATGTCAGCAGACTCACACTGTTGAAGTTGCCTTGAATCTTCTCTCTGCTATCAACTCTTTACATCACCCATAGAACCATTATCAATGGAGCTTATCAGACGGGCTACACAAATTAAATCAAAATGTATTCTTTTATAAAAGTATGGTATCACTATTTGTGTGAAGGATCTTAATGTCAGAAGACAATTTAAGAACATTTATTGTTTAATAAAGAAATAGCAAGGGAAATAACATAGAAAAGGAAAAAAAGAAGTAAAAACATTTCCAATATCCCCAAATTTTTTTCTGTTGGCATTTCACATAAAAGTATGTTTTCTCTGGGCACTGGTGGCTCACGCCTGTAATCTTAGCTACTCAGAAGGCTGAGATCTAAAGATCGCGGTTCAAAGCCAGCCTGGGCAGGAAACTCCGTGAGACTCTTATCTCCAATAAACCACTAAAAAAAAAAAAACCAGAAGTGGCACTGTGGCTCAAGCAGTAGAGCACTCGCCTTGAGCTGAGGGACAGCACCCAAGCCCAGAGTTCAAGCCCCATGACCGACCAAAAATTTTTTAAAAAAGTATGTTTCCATGATTAGGATGGTGGATTTCTAAAAGCAGCTCATAGGCATAAATGAACATATTTGTGTATTTTTTCTTAAAAATACATTGTTTAAATTGTCTTCTTTTTAATATTACACAAATATTTATACAGAGATGTCAGGAGTCTATTGTGTCTTTGATATAATACTTCATATTGTTGCTGGTCAGGAATCTACATTGATAGCAGAGAACTTAAATAACAGCACAATGAAAGAAAAGGCCAAGCGGGAAGTACAGAGTACATTATATAGATAATATTCTCAAGCACAGATTTTTCTCTGACACAGGAAACTGGTCATTTCCCGAATTTAAAGTGCAGAACACTATTCCTGTTGAAGTCGTTATTCAAGAATTCAGTTCCCATGAAAAGGAAATGTAAGCAGAGGGGGCAGGAAAAGTTATTTGCTGTTGGAAAACAACCCAGAGGTTCAAGAGCCCAACTAGGAGCTCTGTCTCTGCCCAGCATCCACAGCCTACTTTTTGTTTCAGCATATAATTGAACTCACTGTGCAATCCCCTGAGGAACAGGAGAAAGATTTATAAACTGACCTCATGATAGATATTTGGTTCAGTTAATAGAAAGACCTTTTCTAAAAAGAATCTTTAAAAAGCATTTACCTTGTTTCCAAGACTAGTACTTATGAAATTGAGGTACCTATTTTACCTTCTTTACAACTGACTTCTGAAATGGTTTAGCCTTTTTCTAGAAAGGTATGGTTTACCTCACATGTTAGTTCTCAAGTGACCCTGACTTGTCGTATCCCCTTCTTTTTTCTCATGACCAAGTATTTTTATATTTGGTGCTATATTCAATATACCACTATTTCCTTGGCCTATAATTTTGTTTCCTTTCCTTTTTAACTTCTACTCTATTCCTAAAGGGTACTTGTATATACAGTGACTGAAATAGGCAGTGTTAGACTAGAGATGCAAGACACAGAGATGACCAGGATGTAGAGATTTCACAGGTCAAACAAGCAGATCTTCATGTCAATGGGCAAAAAAAAAAAAAAAAAAAAAAAAGCCAGATGTTGGAACAAAAAAAGCCATCCAATCAGTAAACTTTATTAAATGTTACAGAAGGACACAACATGTTTCTTGAAGCTATAACTCTGGAGTCACTGCCTAGATTCAAGTCTCAACTCCATCAACTACCAGATAAGTAACTGTACCTCTGGGAGACAAAATTTTTATGTATGTATAATGTATAATCAAAGTAGAATGGTATCTACCATTTATATACTTGCTGCAAGGATTAAATATACAAGTCTATGTTAAGTACCTGGGACATCCAGAACCAATACATAACTGACTTATGTTATTGTTTCATATATGTTATTTTCTTATCAGCAAACACACTTGCTGGGCACTACTGTCATTAATAATAATTATCTCTGAAGGGGGATCTTTAAGAGGGCAAATGAGTTGGCTACCATAGCACCCACTGGTAATCTCAGCATTTGGGAGGCTGAGCAGTAGGATTGTGAGTTCGAGGGCAGCCTTAGCTGTACATAGCGAGACCAGATCTCAATAATAACAACAGCTGGCATCAGTAGCTCACACCTGTAATCCTAGCTACTCAGGAGGCTGAGATCTGAGGATCGCGGTTCAAAGCCAGCCCAGGCAAGAAAGTCCGTGAAACTCTTATCTCCAATAAACCACCAGAAAAGCCGGAAGTGGTGCGGTAGCTCAAGTGGTAGAGCGCTAGCCTTGAGCTGAAGAGCTGAGGGACAGAGCTCAGACCCAGAGTTCAAGCCCCACGACTGACAATAAATAATAATAATTATTATTATTATAACAGCAAAATAATTTTTAATAAAATCCATACAATAAATTATGAACAGTAGTGAATATCACCAATTTATAAAAACTGTTTTCAAGATAAATTAACTTATAGAAAAGCATTAGCTTACAGATTCAAGAAATATGAAAAAAGTTAAAACTAAAAATCGAGACTACCAATTTATTATTATTAAGCCTATTATGTTTCAAAACTCAGGAAAATAAAATATGAAATACAACCAATACTTTTACATAGCTCACAAATCAAATAGGAACCAGCTAAATGTCACTAATGAGTTCATTTACATAGATATTGGCTTGCAGCTCTGTCAACAGCTGAATATTTATGAGGCAAAATTGAGCACAGATAAACAAGAAAACTGTCCTGGGGGGGGGGGGGAATGCTATAATAACTGAAAAATATTTTATACATTTTTTCTAACCTAGGTTATGCACAATAACGAAGAAAAATCTAATGTCTATTCAAATTTTATTTATGAGTTTTGTTAATAACCACAAAGAGACAAGAGATTAGCTCAACTATTGCAAAAGGCGAATACTGGTTAGCATCCACAGATTTTTGCCTCAAGAGGATCTATATACACTGTCTTAGCCCTTCAAGAAGCCATCTTCGGGTGATATAAATGAAACTGTCCATAAGCTAGTATGATAATCTAGTTTAGAGCAATTATTTGCACAGCTTGAAGCCTAGACGGGCATACAACATGAACAACAACGTGGTAAACCGAAATCTAATCACTATCAGACCCCAAATTGGGAGGTGTGGTCTGAAGGCTCTGAGAGCCTCAGCAAATAGACTGCAGGTAGCAGTGACAATATTCTGGGAAATGGCAGCAAATGGCAGCTAGTCACTGCTCCACAGTGACACCAACCGGATGTTTTGAAGGTGGAATGAGGCTAAGGTGTGTGAAGGGCACTGTAGCCTATGTGACTGTGATTGTATGGCCGCTTACAAATGCCGTTGATTTAGGCTTGAACCTCAGATCTAAACTCAAGAACTAGACTAAGAATTCTAGGTTTCTTAGGGTCAAATCTAATTTTCTAAGATGGACATACACTGTTGAAGGTACATAAGTCAGATGAATGGCCTACACATCAGTGAAGAAGTTGGGACCTCCTTTGATTACCAGGATCCCTAATAGGGCACAGCAAAAGGAATGCTGGACCTTCCCTTCTGAGGTAGAGCAAGGCTTCTTTTACCCACCCCATTCCCACCCCCAGAGCCTGGGGGTTACTGAGCACACAGAGCACAGAAGACCAGCAGCTAATATACTACTAATGAGCAATCCTTCCAAGACAGCTGTCAAATTTCACATTCTGCTAAAAATAATAATAATAATAATGGGAGGAATTCCATTAAAAAATATTCAACCATAGCCTCTCAGATCTGGAAAATATATGTATGCAACTTGAGGTACGTGCAGTTTTATCTCTTGTCTTCGAAAGGAACAATACTCTCATTGTTGAGCCGGTCATTGCGTATACATTCACTCTATACTACGCTGTTGTTCTAAGCACTGGTTCTCTGCCCTCGAGGAACAGGGCATTCTAGAGACAGGACACAGAAAAGATGAACAACTACTACACAGATGTTATAAGATTAAGCGTTGATTGACATATGAAGACAAAACATCTGATAAGATGGGAATGAGAACCTGTAGCTGAAGAAGTCTTCCCTGATTATGTATCATGTGAGGAGACACCTTAAAAGCTAAGAAAGTAAAGCACAGAAATATCAGATAGGTACCACTAAACAAGCAAAGGCAGTAGCCATTGGAATGAAGTAAGAGTACATGTAGACACCAAAGAAGGGCATCAATGGATCACATGACTCAAGGGAATGGGAAGGAATGGCCCGGTGAGGCTAGTCAAGAGAGTGAGAAGATTCACGGAGGTCTGAGGGGTGATGGTGAGGACACATTTTATTTTTACTGTTAGAGGAAGTCACTAAACAGAGGAGTTCACTCCAGCTATTATATGGAGAAAGTTAACTGCATTTCTATGTTAAAAGACCAAAAAACAAAACAGAGAAAGGAAGAAAGTGGGGACAAAATAAACCCTTCAGAGACACGTCCTTAACAGCACATCTCCTGAAATCAGGATTATTGAGACACTACTATCTCCCCACCATCAATTATGAATCAACAAATAGATTACTCCATTGAAAAGAGCAGATCAT